CCAGCGGCCAGCGGCGCCCCTGGGGGCTGGGGGGTTGGGCCGAGCACAGGCTCCTCGGAGGACGCCAGCGTGCGCTTGTTTTAGGCACCCTGCCGCCCTCTGATTTTCTGAACCAAGCCCCGAAGCACTGAAAGTCTGACTGGCTCTCTGTGCGGGCTGTCCTGGGTTCCCAGGGCCGTGTCCTGGGCGTTTCCTGCTGTGTCACTTGGTTGGTTCTTGGTTGTTTGCCCCGGGAGTTCCTGGCCTGTGAGCTCATTAGCATGCATAGCTTTGCGCTGACACCTTCATCCCTGCAGCCTGGGGAGGACGTGGGCGTCCAGCTCACAGACTCACAGACCCGCGGGAACCACTGTGGTCTGGCCCGGGACAGAAACTGCTTGCCAGAGAAAGGCATGTGGACAGGCCGCCCTGACCCCCTGGTGGGTGGTTTTTTTTTGAGACATGTTTTTGAAGGGGGGAGAGAAAGGTCTTCCAACCACTGGTTTGCTCCCCAAAAGGCCACAAAGGCCAGGGCTGAGCCAGGCCAACCAAAGCCAGGAGCCCAGAGCTCCATCCAGGTCTCCCATGTGGGTGGCAGGGGTCCAAGTTTGGGCCGTCCTCCCTGCCTTCCCAGATGGCTAGCAGGGAGCTGGAGCGGATGGGGAGCAGCCGCCAGGACTTGGGATGTGGGACAGGGCAGCTTAGCTCGCTGCTGCACCACAGCGGGCCCGGGCCCTGAGTCCGGGAGGGAAAACAAGGCCCTGGGGAATGGGGATGAAGTCCTGAGCTGGTGTCACGGCCACACCTGGGAGGCGCCTTCCTTGAGGATAGTGTGGCGTGGTCCGTGGCTGGGTCCGCCTGCAGATCTGTCTCTTGGTGACACAGGCCGCTGAGGAGCGGGGCCCAGGCCTGAGCCAGCAGCACCTGCAGCTGGGAGAGCCGCCCCCGGTTCATCCCCCCAAAGGCAGCAGTGAAGTCCGGCGGTCCAGTCCTGGCGTTTGCAGTGAAACGCATGACTGTTAGGAAAACAACAGTGACTCCGGAGGGAGGAGGTCTCCGACACCTGCGGCAGGGGCCCTGTTCCAGGCATCCTGAGCGTGGCAGGAAGGGGAGAGCACACGGGACAAGAAGGCATGGGATGGACCACGCCCGCCCGCCACACCTGCCTCCCTCACGCCTATAAAAGTAGCTTAAAAGACTCAGGGGCAGGCGGGGCGCAGCGGTTAAGTCACCGTTGGGGATGGCCGCTTCCTGTCCAGCTTCCCGCTAAGGCTCCTGGGTCCCTGCCACCCACAGGGGAGACCCGGATGGAGCTCCTGGCTCCTGGCTTCAGCCTGGCCTAGCCCTGGCTGTTGTAGATGTTTGGGAAATGAACAGCAAATTCTCTCTCTCCTTTCATGAAGACATAAATAAATAAAAGTGTAAGTGGTTCATGTGAAACTGAACGCGGGCAGCAGAGAAGGAAGACGCCTGTGCCCCTGCGTGCCCACCCTGTCACAGCCCCGCTTCCTGCCCCAGGGCGTCTGAGGCATGTCCCTGAGTGAGTGACCGTGTGCTTTTATAAACAGGAGAGAGCCGCGCTGTGCTACGCCGTGTCCATAGGGCAGTGACTCACAACGAGACTGATTCACAGTCGCTCCCCTGCGCGGTTTCTGTGGTCAGGAGTCCAGGAGTGGGCGGCTGCCTGGCCCTGGGGTTGGCTCTCCCGGGGGGCAGCCAGGAGGTCGGCTGCAGCTGCTGAGGCCCTGGGCTTGGCTGGGTGCGTGACCGGCTGCAGGTGCCCGGCCACAGGGTGACCAGGTGCTGGTGGTGTGGGCGCGACGCCAGGGCTGCTCCAGTGACCTCAGAACACGAAGCTTTGGCTTCCCCCAAACCAGCGACCCAGGAGAACTCGGGTCACCCCCTCCAACGCTAAAGATCACACGGACAGCTTCGTTTCCATGTGGGGGAGCCCCAGGGGACCATACTGGAGACTGCGCCTGCTCTGCACAGGCGGTGGGTCCCTGACTTAACCACGGCTCGGCTCGGCTGACGGGTTCTCAGCTTCCCTGTGGCGAGGTTGTCGTACGCGTCCTGTGTACACTGCAGCTTGATTGGGAGTTGCAGTCTCCTCCCAGCTAGCAGCGTGTGAGACAAGATTCTCAGGCGTGGGCCTCGGTGGCCGCGGCCCCAGCCAGCTGTAGGATCCCGCCCCGTAGCCCTGCTGCACAGGGCGCTGAGTCGGCAGTCTTGGGTGCTCTGTTGTGGGTTTGCACCCAGCATGCTCCCAAGCGCTCCTCTGTGTGGCTGTGCTTGACGTGTTCCGCACTTTGTTATCGGGGTGATTCCTGATGGAGGACTCTTCCCAGCCCTACGTGTAAGGTGGGTGGGTGAGGCTTCCCGTGGGTTTGCTTTCTGAAGACAGGACACACCCAGCAGCGGGGAGAGCTGGGAGTGTTGCGTGCTGGGGGGTGGCGTGGCTCTGAGAAGGGGGGAGTTCGGTCCTGGTGTTAAGGACAGGAGAGCTGTTCAGAGGTGGGCCCCAGGTGGGGGCTTTGTGGGGAGGAGTCGGGCAGGTGGGTCGGTGGGGGGTGGAGGAGCTGGACTAGGTGAGACGCCTCAGGGCTGGCTGGCTGGTCCCTGAGAAGGCCACTGGCTCTTGTGCACGGCGCGGATTCCAGAGGCGCAGGAGAGAGCACTGAGGACAGTGTGCAGTGGCTCGGTGGGAGCAGGTGCACGGAGGAATGCCGGCGGACGGGAGGGGCCGGTGAGGACTTCCGCCTGGCGGGTGATAGTGGAGTGGTCAGGGGTGAGCAAGGGGCAGGCTGAAGATCAAGATCTGTGTCGAGGATGGCGTCTGGAGCGTGTGCTGCCAGTTGGCCACCCAGACGGGACTGCTGGATGGGCACTTGCCTGGCTGCGTGTGGGCGTCTTAAGTGGCAGTTAGCGATAGATTTGCCGCATCGCTTGCGCCTAAAGCCAAGAACTCGGTGATGTCACGGAGAGGATACAGAGGAGGGGCTGGCACAGAGGCCCGGGGATCTGCGACCTCTTGAGCAGACGAGGGGCCAGGAAAGGAGACAGAGCAGGAGGACGGCCGCTGGGGCACGGCGGCTCCGGGAGCAGCTGTGGGGAGCCGAGTGCGTCGAGGGAAAGTGGAGGTCCAGCCGGGTAGCCCAGGAGGCCGCGAACACAGAAGTGCCCGTTGGCTCTTACAGCACGGCGGGTGGTGGTGTGGTGGCACAGGCAGCCCGGCCGGGCTGGGTTTTGGTGCAGCAGTTCTGTCACCGCCTGGGGCACCTCTGTCGCTAGTTGGAGTGCCTGGTTCACGTCTCAGCACGACTCTGCTTCCCTGGGCGGGAGGCAGAGGGGACGGCTCAGCTCGCTAGGTGCCTGCCGCCCACACGGAGATGGAGTTCCTGGCTCCTGGCTTCAGTCTGCAGCTGTAGTGGGTTGATATCTTTTAATGACCTCATTCATCTCCCTGCGGCCTTACAGCTTATTTGATGGAGAACCCGAGTTTGTAGATGTGCCCCGTGGTCTGCAAGTCGCTGATTGCATCTAGAGCTAGAAATGGAAGATAACTTTGATCTGAAAGGCAGGGAGAGACAGAGCTGTGGCTCTGCACCTGCTGCCGCATCCGCTGCGCCTGTGCCTCCCGTCTGTGGCCGTCCTGACTTCCTGGGTGGCCTGCAGCTGCCTTGAGAAACCGGGGCGCCCGTGTGCCGCGTGCACATGGGTGGTGGTGCTCAAGTGTGCAGGGGGCGAGTGTGGTGCCCGTGTGCACTACGTGGGCGTGTGACATGGGACTGTGCAGCGTGTGCGGGCCTGCCCGTGTGGCACGGTGGGCCCAGGGGTCGGGGTCGGGGTCGGTCTCAGGAGCGTCGGAAAGGAGGAGCAGCCGGGACTCGAACTCACGCTCCCCGTGGGCACCGCCACCTCCGGCAGAGACGTCCCCGGCCGCGCCAAGCGCCCGCCCCGGAAGTTCTTCCAGAAGCCCGCGCTTGCCGCAGGACAGCACTTCCGGGTCGGGCAGGATTTGTCGCCATTGGCACGTCCGCCGCCTCTCTGTGGGCGGGGCGTCCCAGGAGCGCGGGAAATCCAGAGACGCAGAGGGCAGAGGTCAGGGGGCGGAGCCGGGCTGAGAGGAGCCGCGTGGGAACAGCGGCGCGTGGCCGTGGGAGTGGGTGGCCCAGGTGGCAGAGGGTGGGCTGGGGGCGCGGGGCAGAGGCAGCACTGAGGGTCCCACGTGATTGACGGGGCCCTGCCGCACGTGACCCAGTATGCGGCCGCGGCAGGGTCTCCCGCGATGGGCACCCTCGCGCCGCCGCGAGTGGGGACCCTTCCTGTCCTCCCGGCTTCATGTGCTTTTCGGGGGGCTGAGACGAGCTACTGCGGCGTGGCTGGCGCGGCCCCCGGGTCTGGACAGCTCGGAGGCCTTGCTGCAGGGTGGGGGAGTTGCTGTGGACCCGAGGCGCGCCGCTGGCCTGGGCGCGCAGCCAGCAGCCAGGCTCGGACCCCAGACCCGCGGGGCGAGGAGCGGCTGCGAGCCCGGGTGGGCCTTCCGCCATCCCTCGCTGCTGGCCGGCCTGCTGCCCCCGCAGTGGCCGAGGTGGGTGCCCGCCTGTCTGGTCTGGAGGAGCCCCGGGTGTTGCTTTCTCAAAGTTCCAGGAAGCCGCAGCCTCACGCAGGTGTTAGCCACGGGTGGCGTCGGGAGCTGGCCTCAGCGCCCTCGCAGGACCGCGGGCCGCAGGCTGAGGCCACCCAGGCCGACTGCACGGACACCGGGCGGCGCTCCCTGACCGAGGCCAGCGCCGGGAGCCCGGGGACGGCTGTGCCGCTGCCTTGCTGCGGGCGGGATCCTGGGCCCTTAAATCTGCGCCGAAGGCTGCTGGGGTGGGCCGGTTCAAACCTCCATTCCCTGGTCAGGAGGAGGAGGATGGGAGAGGGGTGAGGGTGGAGGAGGGGCAGCAGACGCTCCCGGCTCCTGGCCTCGGATCGGCGCAGCTCCGGCCGGCCGCGTGCAGCATGGGAGTGCGAATGGAAGACCCCCCCCACCCCGTCTCTGCCTTTCTCTGTAACTCTGTCTTTCAGATAAATAGATCTCTAAAGAGAGAGAGAGAGGTCTTCCATCTGTTGGTTCACTCCACAGATTGGCTGCAACAGCTGGAGCTGGGCCAGTCCGAAGCCAGGAGCTTCCCCAGGTCTCCCACGCAGGTGCAGGGGCCCAAGGATTGGGCCATCTTCCACTGCTTTCCCAGGCCACAGCAGAGAGCAGGATGGGAAGTGGAGCAGCTGGGACTCGAGCCAGCGCCCGCATGGTCGCCAGTGCTGCAGGTGGCGGCTTCACTGGCCACGCCACAGCGCCGGCCACGCCGATGGGATTCTCTCTTGTGACTGTAGTTACAGTCATAGCGATGGCGTGAAGAAGCAGCCCTTAGGGTGACAGGGACTTCAGGATTCAGCGTTGACTTAGGTGTGAATTTTGAGCCACTTTGGCCACCACGAATCTTCATACACCTCTCAAAAAGGAGGCGTTAGCAGGAGGAAACAGTGTCCGTGCTGGGGTCCGGCATTGGAGACACCCTGTCCTGCAGCCCACAGGCAAACACGGGGTGCAGAATCCTGCGGCCAGCAGTGTCTGCCTCGGCCCACGTGAGGGGCCCCGGCCCCCGGGACCCGCGTGTCTGGGAGGAGCAGCATCACCGTGGCTGGGTAAGGCGGCTGGCGTCTGACCCGGAGCCAGCAAATCCAGCCCCGGGGTGAAGGCCTTGCGCAGGGCAGGGCAGGGCGCCGCCGCCAGCCCTGGGTGCTTGTCACTGCGGGCCTGCGCTGACCGCCGCCAGCCCTGGGTGCTTGTCACTGCGGGCCTGCGCTGACCGCCGCCAGCCCCAGGGCGCCGCAGTGCCCGCGGGTGACACAGCGGCCCGGGCTCCCATCAGACCAGAGACCGCGCCCCCTGGCCAGGTGTGATCTGTCGCAGGCCCAGGTCTGTTCCTTGAAGGTCAGTGGGAGCTGCTGCGGCCTCCAAGTCCCGCCTCCTGCCTTCCCTCCACGGGTGCTGAGGCCGTGGGAGACAGCGCCCTCTTCTGCCAGCGCTGCGCATGCGCGTCCTCTCTGAGCGTGCCCTGGTTCCAGTGCATTTGTTAAGGATTTTTTTCCTTTATTTGACAGGCAAAGCGACAAAGAAATAGAGGAGAGAGCGAGAGCGAGAGAGAGAGAGAGAGAGGTGCATCTCCCCTCTGCTGCTGGCTCGCTCCCCAAATCCCTGCCGCAGCCTGCTCTGAGCCGGGAACTCCTGGGCGCTCCGGTGGGCGGCAGGCCCCCCCCGCCCCCCCGTGGCCTGAGCCGTCCAGCAGGAAGCCGGGCCAGACGGAACCGGCTCTCTGGTGCGGAATGTGGGTGTCTCGGGCGGAGGCCGCGCCCGCCGCGCCACGTCGCCGGCCCCTCGGCTGCTGCGGCCCAGCGATGCCCTTCTCTGCAGCTGAAGGACAGCTCTGGTGCGCGGTGCCCTTGGCCGCCACGCGTGTCCGCCTGTGCCGCCGGCGCAGTCTGGTGAGCCGGCACGTCCTGGTGCCGTCGCTTCCTTTCTCCTGCCCTGGGGAGGATCCGCTGGTGACCGCTGAGCTTGGCGAGCTGGTGCTCACGGCGTGCGGTAGACTTGGCTGGGCCGGGCTGAGTCTCACCTGCCCAGCCCTGATGGGTCTATCTTTCTGTAGCTTTGGGACGTTTTCGGGTCTCTCTTGGAGGTGCTGCGTGCTCAGTCTCGGCAGCCCCTGTTGGGGGAGGCGTGGTTGGTGTAACAGCTGTGACACCCACATTCCGCATCCCAGTGGCTGTGTTCGCCTCCCAGCCCCGCGCCCTGTTCCAGCTCCTGCCGAGGCGAGAGCCAGGGAGTCAGCATGACGGCTGCGGTAGTGGGGCCCCTTCCACCCACATGGGAGAGCCAGACTGGATCCCTGGCGTCCGCTGGGCCCTCCCAGTCATCGCAGGTGTTTGGGGAGTGAGCCAGCAGGTGGCAGATCGCGCTCTCCCTCTGCCTCTCAAATGATAGCAACTTATTATTATTTATTTGAGAGGTAGAGTTACAGACAGTGAGAGGGAGAGACAGAGAGAGAGGTCTTCTGTCTGCTGGTTCACTCCCCAAATGGCCACAACGGCCGGAGCTGCGCTGATCTGAAGCCAGGAGCCAGGAGCCTCCACCGGGTCTCCCATGCGGGTGCAGGAGCCCAAGCACTTGGGCCATCCTCCACTGCTTTCCCAGGCCACAGCAGAGAGCTGGATCCGAAGAGGAGCAGCTGGGACCAGAACTGGCACCCACATGGGATGCAGACGCTGCAGCGGAGGATTAACCTACTGTGCCACAGCACCGGCCCCTCAACTAATAATAATTTAAAAACACCCTCCTGAATCTCAGTAACTTAGATACCTGCCCCCTTTTTTTTAAAGGAAAGGGTTTATTGGTGGGGAACCCGACAGACCGGAGGGAAGGGGTGGAGAAGGAGAAAGACGGAGGAGAGCGTGAGAGAGATCCAGGGAGAGGGGAGCGCTCCTTTACTGTCGTCCTGCAGTTCCCGTAGGCTCGCTCCTTCCTCCTCATTATCTTTATTCTCTGCCTGTTTGAGCTCACTGGTTCTTTATTCTGCTTGATCTTCTGTACTTTTTTTTTAAAAAAAGATTTATTTTTATTTATTTGAAAGATTACAGAGTTCACTCCCCAAATGGCTGCAACGGCCAGAGCTGCGCAGATGCAAAGCCAGGAGCCAGGAGCTTCTTCCGAGTCTCTGACGCGGGTGCAGGGGCCCAAGGACTCGGGCCATCCTACACTGCCCTCCCAGGCCGTAGCAGAGAGCTGGATCAGAAGAGGAGCAGCCGGGACTAGAACCAGCACCCACATGGGACGCCGGCGCTCAGGCCAGGGCATTAACCCGCTGCGCCACAGCGCCAACTCCTCTCCTGTACTTTTGATGCCTTTTATCACATTTTTAATTTCATTCAATGTGTTTTATACTCAAAACCTTCTACTTGATATTTTTTAAAAAGCTTTTTTTTTTTTTTTAGTTTTTTGAAAGTGTGTCACACAGACACACACACGCGCACACACACACAGATCTTCCATCCTCTGGTTCACTCCCCAAATGCCTACAGCAGCTGGACCTGGGCCGGGCTGAAGTCAGGAGCCAGGAACTCCATCCGGGTCTCCTACGTGGGTGTCAGGAACCCAGGCACCTGGGCCATCACCTGCTGCCTCCCAGGCGCGTTAGCAGGAGGCTGGATCAGAAGAGCGGAGAAGCCGGGACTTGAACCAGGCGCTCCGGTGTGGGCTGCAGCTGCCCCCAGGAGCAGGCTAGCCTGCCGCACCAGAGCATTCCATGTTGACGTCTGAAAAGTGCTTCTGCCGCCCTGTTAAGTGTCTCTGTTAGAGGAGTGCATCATTTCTCTGCAGTTTTCTGAATCTCATAGTTTCCTTACAACCGCAGTTTGAAATTCCGTTCCGAGCGTTCGTGTCCGTCAGTTACGTCCTGGTCTGATTCTGCCGCCTCACTTTGTTCACCAGTGAGCTCGTGGTTCTCTGCCGCATGACACTGTCCACCCCTGGAGGGACTAGGACATTTTCCCAGTCTTCCAGATCTGGACTGGTGCCGGCCCTTCGCTTGTTTTCTCTGGGCCGTGACACTTCCATCATTCTAGCACTAGATGGCGCCCCAAGTCACGGTCTGCTCTTGGTGTATTGTCTCGGTGTCAGCACCAGAGGGCGCCCCATCCCACATCCACGGTGGGTTGTTGAGAAGGTGCTGGCCTCAACCAGAGGCTTTGGGCTCTGTCGGGTGCTGGTCTCTCCAGGCAAGCCAGGCACTTAGCTCCACTGCAGAGCTGTACTGACTCCCACCCTGTCCCCAGAGGCTGGGGTGAGGGGTCCAGTGCCAGCCTGCTCGGGGTTTCAAGCCTGAAGTCTGGACTTGGTTCCTTCTCCCTCCCCACGGCGGGAGGCATGGAGCTCGGGTTGGAGCTGGAGCAGCGGTGACGCCGAGTCTCTGTGCTGCCTTCTCCAGTGCCTGCTTTCCCGAAACTACGGTACAGCCAGGCCCTGTGAGCTCCTGCCGGGGCCCCAGCTCTGTGGCACCAGCTCTGAGTGCTGTCCTCTCCGGTCAACTTCGCCTCGGCCTCTCTGCCTGTCCCACCCTCGTAGATCTCTCCCTCCTTGGTTTAACCTTTCCGGAGCTGGGTCTGCCGCTCCCCTCCTTCTCTGTGCCCCGTCCTGGCCGGGCAGGCCGCCCCTGCCAACAACAGGAACATGCGGCGGGGCAGCGGCTGGAGCGAGGTGAGGAGCTCGGACTGGGGCGCGCCCGCTGCGCCCTCCGTTCGCCTGTCTGCAGCCTGGCCGGTGCTGCTGAGCCGTGCTCCTGGGGGCCAGGCGGGGCCCAGCTGGCTTCTGGACAAGACAGGGCGGATGCTGTGGCGCAGTGGTTAAGCCACTGACTGCGATCCGGCAACCCAGATGATCACTGGTTCGAGCCCCGGCTGCTCCACTTTGGATCCAGCTCCTGTCCTGCACCTGGGAAAGCAGCAGAGGATGGCTGAGTGCCTGGGCCCCTGCCCCCACGTGGGAGACCTGGATGGCTTTGGCCTGGCCCAGCTCTGGGTATTGCGGCCATCTGGGGAGTGAACTAGCAGATGGAAGATCTCTCTGTCTCCCCCTCTGTCACTCGGCCTTTCAAATAAGTAAATGGGCCAGCGCTGCGGCTCACTAGGCTAATCCTCCGCCTGCGGCGCCAGCACCCTGGGTTGGGGTGCCGGATTCTGTCCCGGTTGCCCCTCTTCCAGTCCAGCTCTCTGCTGTGGCCTAGGAGGGCAGTGGAAGATGGCCCAAGTGCTTGGGCCCTGCACCCCATGGGAGAGCAGGAAGAAGCACCTGGCTCCTGGCTTTGGGTCGGCACAGCGTGCTGGCCGTGGCAGCCATTTGGGGGGTGAACCAACGGAAGGAAGACCTTTCTCTCTGTCTCTCTCAGTCTAACTCTGCCTGTTAAAAAAAATAAGTAAATGAATGTCTTTTTTTCCCCCAAAAATATAGATAAGAGCTTGAAGAGGGGCCAGGTAGGTGCCTTATTTAACATGATTTCAAGTGTGTTCTGGAACTTGGGCTCCCAGGTGCAGTGCTGGGGCCTGGCACTAGGTGGCAGCAGGGACCAGAGGACCCAGACCTTGCTCCTCCGCCCGAGGCCTGGGATGGAGAAGCGAGACTGATTTCCTGAGGCAGTCCCGTGTGGGCGTCTGCAGTGTGCTCTCTGTTAAGTCTCCCCTGTCGGCGTGGCTGAGTGATTCCATTTGTGGCTGAACACTGCTGAGGCCCACACGCTTTGGGTGATGCCCCGTGTTTATGTGCCCGGAGCGTCAGCCTGGAGGCCATATCACACTGGCTGTGCTGTCGGCCCCTGAGTGTGCGCTGACGCGGCTCCCGCCTGACTGCGCGCGTTCCTGCACAGCCTGTGCGTGAGACGCTGGCGGTCGGGTAATCAGTAGGACAGCGAAGTGCCAAGGTGTTGGGAGCCCATCCCGTGTTCCCCAGCAAGAAGGCATGCGTGCCTGGGCCTGTGCCCAGCGCTGTGGGGGCCGAGCTGGCCCAGACACCAGCCCTGACATCTGGAGCTCGGGCAGGTGCGCGGAGTGGGGAGCGCCGGGCCAACCCCAGCAGGGATGTGTGACAAGTGCACTGGTGAGGGGATGGGGCCCAGGTAGTCACCGTCACACGTGTAGGAGAGGCCGGGAGCCTCCGGGAGGAGCTGGTGTGGAGCTTAGTCAGGGAGAAGGCGGAATCAGCACCCCAGGCCACAGCCCTGAGTGCACGCGGCCAGGGAAGAGCGAGAGAGCCCAGCTTTCTCCTGGGCAGCCCTGGGAGTGCCCGGGAGCGAGGTGCTGCTGTGGTCCAGAGTGAGGGCAGAGCGGGCCCAGACAGCAGGGACAGTGAGGAGCTGGGAGAGAGGCCGTGCCATGCAGAGGTGGTGCCTGTGTGGTCAGCGCGGGAGAAGGCAGGCTCAGGACGGGCGAGTGCAGCCTTGGTCCCGCTGAGTGTGGAAAGCTATGGCACTGGGTGAGGGTTCTGGAGCGGAGCTGCGACGGGGCTTACGGAGATGGCCAGAGGGCTGGGAGCCCTGGGGAGCAGCGCCTGAGCTGGACAGTGAACGTGCACCTGGAACCAGGGGGCGAGAGGGCCGCGGAGGCACAGAGGAGAGCTTGGGGGGAGCCCCGTGCCAGAGAGACGTCTGCGCTCCTGCTTCCGGCCCACTTGACACGACCCCAAGAAAAACAGGAGTGGGATTGGCCGCAAGGGCTGATTGTCGTGTCGGGGTCCCACAGGGGCCGGCAGAGCATGCAAGCCTGGGCAGTGTTCCTTGGCCAGTGTGGGGGCCGTCTCCAGGGGCATGATGGGCAGGTGTGTCTGGGTGGGCGGATGCAGGAAGCCCGCAGAGACACAGGATGTGGAGAGAGGGTGGTGCACACGTAAGGGTGTGTGTGCTTGTGTGTGCCCGCAGGCGCCTGTGTGGTTTGTGCGTGACTGTGAGTGATGCAGACGTGCGTATGTGAGTTCTTGCTGTAAGGACAGTCACATCTTACCCTCTGGCCCCTCCTTCTGGGGAGTTCCCCCCACTGACCCTGCCTGGGAAACTGAGGCTGGAGTGGTGGGAGACCGGTGAGGGGTGAGGGCCGTGCAGGCACCTTTAACCTGCCCGGCTCCGTGTCTCACACTGGAAGACGCCAAGTGTGGGCTCTGGACTGGGGGTTGGCAGAGGGGAGTCTGTCTGTATGCCACGCTCTCCGGCATCCAGAACATTCTCCCTGCCCTCTACACATCCCTGACGTGGCAGCACAGCACCGCCGTGAGCCCGGGCCTGGGCGTGGGGGCGCCCGGGCCGGCTGAGAGGATGGAGAGGACGCTGGCCGACTCCGGCCTTGGTTGTCCAGAGGGGAGCACTTTCTCTACGAAGTCTTCTTCCCCGAGGCGCCCAGCTGTGAGCTCCTGCACACACAGCTGCTCTGTGCTTGTTCTCTTTCAGTTTGCAGAAGTCACTGACCTGTCTGACAGGTAGAGTGACAGAGTGAGGAAGAAATCCCCCACCCGCTGGTTGACTCTCCCAGTGCCCACAACAGCCAGGGCTGGGCCAGGCCAAAGAGGAGCCAGGAACCCCATCCAGGTCCCCATGTGGGTGCAGGGACCCACGGCCTTGAGCCGTCTTCCGCTGCTTTCCCAGGCGCAGTCGCGGGAGCGGAGCAGCCACCGGACTGGCACCTGGTCAGGGCACTGGCCTTGGAAGCAGCAGCCTCGCTCGCCGCGCCACAGCGCCGCCCCATTTCAAGTCTGTGACTGGGTAGCATGTTCCTATCACTGAAAAGTTAGAAAATCAGTTTAAAAAGTGTAACTTCAGAAGTTGCACTCCCAACCACCTGTTAATGCCCCCGCTCCTTATTTTACCAATTTATTACTTTAAAAAATTTACCTGTTTGAGAGAGAGAGAGAGAGAGAGAGAGAGAGCGAGCGAGCGCACGGCCATCCACTGGTCACTGCCCCAGAGGCTGGGGCCAGGGCCTGGAACCCGACCTCAGTACAGGGCTCCCGCCTGGGAGGCCGGAGCCGGGTCGTCAGCTGCCTCCCCCCAGGTTGGCGTCTGCAGGAGGCTGGAGCTGGGAACCCACCCCAGGCACTGATGTGGGACGCGGGCCTCCACCCCCGGGCCACACGCCCCTCCTGTTCCGTGAGTACCTCCTCTCTGTAATTCCTTAGGCAGCTGCACGTTTGTTATTTCTCGGTGGCCCTTGCGCGTCCTCTCTCCGCGGTTCCCGGTGGCACAGCTGTCTAGTCCGCGGCCCTGCTGAGTGTCTCCCTCCTGGCCCCTCTGTTTTTAGAGTTCTTCCAGCCATCAGCTCCCTAGCAACCAGTCGGGCCCCAGTGGGAGCCCCCATCCGGGGATGGCCGAGCCCCCCTCCCCTGACATGTCCACGCCCGGGCAGCCCCGCTTGGCAGCCCTGGGGGCAGCAGCTCACACCTGTGCCTTCTGGTGATTAAAAACAGACCGAGGCACCGCCCTCGGAGTCTCTGGTCTCTGGTAATTTCCCCTTGTTGGGAACAGGTGTGCCGGGTGGGACCTGGGTATAAACGCTCCAGCCGAGCTGTAAACAGCGCGACAGAGCGGGCGCTGGCTGAGCAGGTACAGTCGGTCTTTTCCTCCTGTCCTGAGCTCCCTCGCTTCCCCGCTCCCAGGACCCAGTGCCTGCCTGTCCGCTGGCCTGGGAATGAGCTGCCTGCGGCATCCTGGGGCAGCCAGGACTGGGGAGGAGGGGCCCACCATGAAGGGGGCCTGTGAGCACCTGAGCAGTGTGCCCTGGGAGGGGGCAGTGGGGGGGGACCTTGCGGGTTCCCAAGGCTGCCAGGGGCTCCTGTCTGCTTCCTTCAAGCCAGTGTCTTCGCCTTGGTTGGGCTCCTGCCCCTGGAGAGGTCGGTGCTGCAGCCGAGATGCCCACCCAGCTGGAGATGGCCATGGACACCATGATCAGGATCTTCCACCGGTACTCGTGCAAGGAAGGAGACAGATTCAAGCTGAGCAAGCGGGAGCTGAAGCTGCTGCTGCAGCGAGAGCTCACGGAGTTCCTGTCGGTGAGTGCGCGCCGCCTGCCCCTGCGCTCACGGAGTTCCCATCAGTGAGTGCGTGCGTGCCGCCTGCCCCTGTTCCGTCCAGGGTGCTGGAGGTGCAGCTCTGCTCGGGAACGTGGTGCGTTGTGTGAGATGCACTGCACCGGGGAGGCCAACACAGAGCTGCACACAGGCGGGCGCCCTGTGTGCGCCGGGGGAGGCGGCGGTGTCACCTGCCGTGGACACCGAGGCACAGCTAAGACTCAGCTCAGATTAGGGGTCACCATGAGGTGCGCGCACGCCGCCTGCAACTGCATAGCATTGTCTGTGCAAACCGGGAGAGTGCAGTGACTCTGGGGCATCTGCAGGCGCCCTGCCCCGGTGCTCAGCAGCCGGTGGGGGTTTGGGGGGTGTAGGTGGCGGTGGTTTAGGAATTTCTAAAGGTTTGGTTGGGCTGCCTTGTGGTGTGATGCTTATAACAGAAAGTTCAGGGTAATACTTGCATCTGTTCGAGTACTTGGTAATCGTTGGTAATCGTTGGCCCACAGTGATTTGAGTCAAAGTTTCCATGCAGGACGTGACTGGCAGCAGCCAGTGACAGGGCCCTGGAGAATGCCCTGCAAACTCTGGGCAGCCTCTGACCCCAGAGGCCGGGGTGCCTGGGCCCCCAACCCCCCAGGTCTGTGCTGCGTCGGCCGCCTCTTGTGCGCATCCAGTCGTGGGCTGAGGAAGCCGCCGGATACAGCGATCGTTGCCCTGTTCTGTGCCCTGTGTAGTCCCAGGTGCACACGTACGCCCGGACTGCACTGTGGCCCCGGAAGTCGAGTTCCCTGGGGCCCTGATTCCTCCTGGATCAGTCTAGCAACCTGGCGCTGGGCATCTGGAAAGTGTGTTGTGGGGTCCTCAGAATGTGTGGTGGACACAACGCTCCTCATTTTTAATATGAAACCTCAAATGGTGAGAGATTTGCTCAGTTCTGTTGTAGAGGCTGGAGCTTCCCAGTGTCCCGGCCCCACCCTCAGTGCAATTCTAGCTCCCACACTCACTTGGCTGAGTGGCCGCTTGGCTTGGCCTGCTCCTCGGGGTGAGTCAGCATCAGGTGGACGCTGGCCAGGGTGGTGGGCTCCTTCAAGCTTTGTACCTGGGCCAGACCTACCCGCACACGGGCTCTTGGAAATGAGCGGCTGCAGTGGGCGTGGCTGGCAGTCACGGGGAGGGGCACCTGCAGTTGTCGGGCCGGCAGTCAGACGCTCTCTCTCTGCTTCTAGTGCCAGAAGGACCCCCAGTTGGTTGACAAGATCATGCACGACCTGGATGCCAACAAGGACAACGAAGTGGACTTCAACGAATTCGTGGTCATGGTGGCAGCCCTGACTGTGGCTTGTAACGATTACTTTGTAGAGCAGCTGAAGAAGAAAGGCAAGTGAAGACAGGTGGCCGCTCCCGCACGGGCACACGCCTGGCCCAAGGCCTCGGCTGGCCACTCAGGTCTGTAGACCAGCGACATCACCTGTAGATACGCTAGACAGGCCGCTGCTTGCTAGTGCTGTTACGTTATGTGTGCCTTCATGGACTGACTTCACAGAACGACTCCAAGTCCCCTGTGCCCCACCTAGAATTTGCCCGTATTATCACAGATGTTTCTTACATGTTCTTTTTGTTTGTCAGAAAGTTAGCTACTTGGAAACGAGGCCAGCACCAGGCAAATGTCTGAGACAGATGCTGTCATCCGTAAGTTATATTCTACGTCCGCCCTGTTGCCGAGTGCCCTGGCGCTCTGTGGTCCTCCTTCCCGCGGGGCAGCGGGTGCGGCTGAGCGCAGGACGGCAGAGCAGTCACGGAGTGGGCCAGGCTGGGGAGGGGCAGGCTCATGGCCAGGAGCTGATGCCGCAAACACAGGGCCCTGGGTCTGAGCGGCCTCCCTTCTGCAAAGGAGAATTCCCAACAAGCCGTCCTGCCGTCACCTGGAGCTTCCCTCTGCGGAAGGCTCAGCAGCCCCAGGGCCCCCTTCGCCGCCTTGTCTCCCCATACAGCACAGCCCCGCTTCCTGCCCCTCGCAAATAAATGGCTGCTTGTGAATCTTTGTCTCACGGTCTGCTTCTGGGGAACCAGCTAGGGTAGATCGTCCGGAGAACTTCATGGAAGGGCATGGCATGAGTCACTCACGCTGTCTTGTGACCACTCTTACTGCCGAGGACAGAGGCCGCTTAGGGGGCTGCGGCGACGGTCCAGGGGTGCCAGACCAGGGTCTCAGCGATGGGGACGAGAAGCAGCTGAGGTGGAGGGAGGGACTTGGAGGCAGTGGGCGCTGCCGGGGCTGGCACGGAAGTGTGTGCCTGTCCCGTGTCTACTCTGCGCTTCTCAGAGCCCTGATTGTGCAGGGTAGCAGCGTGCCCAGCTGAGAAGCTACGTTTCCCAGCTCTGTGGGGTGGGGTGGGGGGAGGCTTTTACCACAGTTCTGAACTGTGAGGGAGACACAAAATCTACTAGGAATTTCTGGAATGTTTTGCTCTTTCCACATAGACTCTGTGCCTTATACCTTGTAAATGCCTTTTCCATCCTTTGGATGTGGATATGAGGCGGGAGGTGGGACAGCCGTGTTGCAGCCGTGAGGATGGTGGAGAAAAAGAGATACAGGAAGTCTGGACCAGTTATTCACCAGCCCTGGCCGCTGGCCTCTGACCTTGTTACGTGAAAAAGATGACAGCTGAGCCGAGTTCTGTTACACGCAGCCACACGGTCTCTGGCGTGTAGATCTTCGGTCAAGCTGATGAAGCCATTTGCCAGGTGGTGTGACTGGAGAAGGCCCTGCGGAGAGCTCACTGGCTGTGCTGTCGGACACGCACGTGGAGGAGGTGGGCGTGCACTGTGCTCTGGCCTGCAGGTGAAGAGCTGCTGGCTCCCGCGTGCCGGTCAGCCGTGGTGTTTAGGGTGATCGTGGGGCCCGGGCAGGACAGAGGGCCTGCAGCTGGTGCTCGGGGACAGGAGGAGCTGGCCAGGGACACAGTAGGGGCCAGGCAGACTGAGGACAGGCAGGGCGCACGGACTGCAGAGGCCAAGACAGAATGAATGAGAAAGGTGGAGGTGGGGACAGGAAGGGCGAACTCCCCCCGAGTCGGGCAGGTGATCATCTGTGACTGGCCAATAGTAGGTGCTCAATAGGTGTCTCCCTGTGTGGCAAACAGTAAGTGCTCAATAGATGCCTGTTGCATGAACAAGGGGAGTGCCTGCCAACTTTGGACTTGCTGGTGCTGAGTCTGGTCATTTTTTCGGTAACTGGAAAGCCAGTCTTTGTGTTCCTCAGACAGTTGGGAGCAGCGAGTTCAGGGAGCGCCTGCAGGCTCCTCCCATGGGCAAGGTGGGTCAGTTGGACAGCAGTTGGCCGTCCGAGCAGGTGTGAGGGGCCTTCCTCACCTGCCCGGATGCTCCCGACTCCCATGAGTCAGCGTCGCACACGTTTCAGTGGCCTTAAACTTTTCTTTTTGATTTGCTCCCAAGTTTCCATTTTCTAAAATGAAACCGAATCCAACATTTTCTTCATATTTTAAGAACGTTTTCAAGGAAGAGAAATGGATGGAACAACAATGTTTCGTGACATTTTAAAAAATCGACCGAAAGTGGGGAAAAGACACTGATGTCTGAAAGTGCCATGTGGGTAGGGATTACACGCTGTCCCAAGAGTTCTTTCCTGGAAGAGGACGTTCCCTTTTGCCCGTGAGGTGCGTGTCGATTTCATGTGTCCCGGCACCGACTTCTGCCTTTGCTAGGGGCTGGAAGGAGCATGAAGTGTGGACCGCACCGCAGGTCCTGGCTTGCAGGATGAGCGTTGGCGCAGGGCCCACTCTGAATGCTGCTGCCCCTTCAGGGTGGGAGGAAGACCCTCGCCCTCCTGACTCCTTCTACGGGACAACGCAAGCAGCTCGGTGGGGAGGGCAGAGCCCGGAGGGGCAGCCGCTCATTGCCAGAGCTGGAGCAGTGGACCGTGAAGGCCACACCCATCCAGCTCGCTGTCCCCAGGACCAGAGTAGGGGAGGCAGCCGCAGCCTGGGCTCAGCACAGAGCAGGAGCGCGCGGCACCCAGGAGGCCCGGCGTTACTTCCTGTGTGGGAAGCCGCCTGCCTGGCAGCTTCCCCAGGGCCTGCTCTGCCAACTGGAGCTGCCGCAGGGGACCGGCCATCCCCCATGGATGGATGGCACACGCAGGGCCTCGAGCGCCGCATGGCAGCTCCTGTCGGGCGATGCTTCCAACCCGCAAGCACAGGAAGTTCATTCAGTCTCTTGAGTTCCAGGGTCACCCTGGTGCGGGCAGACAGACGCATGTGGCGCCTGGAGTGTGTGCTGAAGAGTTCCCGGTTTTTGTTGTCGTTAATGTATCTGCTTGAAAGGCAGATGCCGGAGCGAAGGAGAACCAGAGAGAGCGGGAGCTCCCATCGCTGATTCACCCCAGATGGCTGAACAACCTGGGCTGGGCCAGGCCGAAGCCGGAAGCCAGGCACTCCATGCCGGTCTCCCGCGAGCGTGGCACGGGCCCACCTGCTCATCGGCTGCCTTTCCAGGCGGTTAGCAGGGAGCTGGAGCCACCAAACGGCCGGCCGGGAACCTGGGCTCCCACGTGATGGCAGCACCGCGCATTACCACTGCGCCTGTCCGCAGGAGACGCCGACTGCGTGTGCGTGTCCGTGCACACACGCACACTCGGGGGAACTCCACGTGGGAGTCCGGCTACGGATGCAGGGACAGCGATGCCACTGGGCCGGCAGGAGGTGAAGGGACGCCGCAGGTGCCCGACTGCCGTGCAGGCCTGCGTGGGAGGGCGCTCTGTAAAGACGCCCGTGGGCCGCGTCCTGGGGTGCGCACTGAGGCGCGTGTGCGTGGTGAGGAGTGCGTGCGCAGTGCGGCATGCCCGCGTGGTGAGGTGCGTGTGCGCAGTGTGGTGTGCCCGTGTGCTGAGGCCTGCGTGTGAGGGGCGCTGTGTGGGCCGCGTCCTGAGGTGCGCCGGTGTCGTGAGGTGAGCAAGCGCGGTGAGGTGTGCCCGCGTGGTGAGGCGCCGGCATCGTGTGGACGGCCGTCCTAGTGAGACGCGCGTGCGCAGTGCGGCGTGTCCCGTGGTGAGACGCGCGTGCGCGGTGCGGCGTGCCCCGTGATGAGGCGTGCGTGTGAGGGGCGCTCTGTAACGACGCCCGTGGGCCGCGTCCTGAGGTGAGCAAGCGCGCTGTGAGGTGTGCCCGCGTGGTGAGGCGCGTGTTCGGGTGCGGCTCGCGGGCGCGGTGAGGAGAGCAGTGTCCTGAGGCGGCGTGTCCCGTGGTGGGGCGTCCTGGCGTGGTGCGGCGTGCCCGCGTGGTGAGGCGCGTGTTCGGGTGCGGCTCGCGGGCGCGGTGAGGAGAGCAGTGTCCTGAGGCGCCCCCGCGTTGTGGGGAAGCCATCCTAGTGAGGCGCGCGTGCGCGGTGAGGCGCGCCCGCGTGGTGGGGCGTGCCGCGTGGTGGGGCGTGCCCGCGAGGTGAGAGGCGGCCCGGCGTGGTGAGATGTGCCCGCGCGGTGGGACGCCCCGGCGTTGAGAGGCGTGCCCGCGTGGTGAGGTGCGCATGCGCAGCGAGGCGCCCGGCGTGGAGAGGCGTGCCCGCGTGATGAGGCGCAGCGTGCGCAGTGAGGTGTGCCCGCGTGGTGAGGCGCCGGCATCGTGTGGACGGCCGTCCTAGTGAGACATGCGTGCGCGGTGCGGCGTGCCCGCGCGGTGAGGCGTGCGTGTGAGGGGCGCTCTGTAAAGATGCCCGTGGGCCGCGTCCTGAGGTGAGCAAGCGCGCTGTGAGGTGTGCCCGCGTGGTGAGGCGCCGGCATCGAGGGGACGGCCGTCCTAGTGAGGCGCGCATGCGCGGGGCGGCGTGCCCCCGTGGTGGGGCGTCCTGGCGTGGTGCGGCGTGCCCGCGTGGTGAGGCGCGTGTTCGGGTGCGGCTCGCGGGCGCGGTGAGGAGAGCAGTGTCCTGAGGCGCCCCCGAGTCGTGGGGAGGCCATCCTAGTGAGGCGTGCCCGCGTGGTGGGGTGTGCCCGCGTGGTGGGGTGTGCCCGCGTGGTGAGGCGTGCCCGCGTGGTGAGATGTGCCCGCGTGGTGGGGCGTGCCGCGTGGTGAGATGTGCCCGCGTGGTGGGGCGTGCCGCGTGGTGAGGCGTGCCGCGTGGTGAGGCGTGCCGCGTGGTGAGGCGTGCCTGCACGGTGAGGCGCCCCGGCGTGGTGGGGCGTGCCCTCCTGGTGGGTGCGCGTGCGCAGTGAGGCATGCCTGCGTGTTGAGGTGTGCCCGCGTGGTGAGGTGCCCCGGCGTGTGAGGCGCCCCGCGTGGTGAGGCGCGCGTGCGCACTGAGGCGCCCCGCGTTGTTGGGGCGGCCGTCCTGGGGTCTAACCTGCGACGCGCGGCGGAGCTGGTCTCTTCGCCCGCGCCCGGAGTCGTCGTTTCCTTCACAGATGCCGGAGCGCGGGAGATGACCCCGCCAGCCCCGACCTTGCCCGGCCCAGGCCTCGGCTCCGGCTGCTTCCCAGGAGCGGGGCCTGCGTGGTGGGCTGGGCAGGTCGCCGGCAGGGCCCCGCGGGGCCGAATCACGGGCGAGGGAACGCGCGGCAGCGCCAGGCCTGCACTCCGCTCCGGGCGGCTCTCTCGGCCCTTCCCGCTCGGGAGCCGGATCTTGCAGGAGGCCTGATGAGTCGGCCTAGCGGACCCCGTCCGTGTCACCTGGTGCCCTCCCTCGTCGCCCACGGGCCCTCGTGCCGCCTGGCCGCCCCCAGCAAGACCGCCGTGGGTCAGGGGTCAGGAACGCCCGCCTCCCGGTGACGGCGGCCCACGGACCCCGCTGTCTGGGCCGGCAGCCGTGGCTCTGGGACGGCCCTCGGTGTCACAGGGGCCCGCGCGCGGCTCACGGACACCATCTCCGCTGACTTCCGTGGAGGGGCGGCAGGCGTCCACGGTCTGCGCGCTCAGGGCAGGAGGCACAGGAGCGCGGCGCCGGAAGGGACCCGGCTCAGTCCGGTCCGCTGCTTGTGCCTCGCGGGGCGTCCTCACTGCCGGGGCCGGCGCGCTGGTTCTGACTGAGCCCCGTGTTGGTGAGCCGTGGATCGTGGCATCCAGAGCGCGGGGCTAAGGGCAGGAAGAGGGGCGTCCAGTCCTCGGTTCCAGGAATGCCACCCATCCGGGACATGCTGCGGGAATCTGATGGGGAGACAGTGTAGTGCCCTGAGGCTTTTCCGGAAATGGACGCCTACATCAGCGCGGGGGCTGCCTGGAGCGCTTGGGTGGGGCCTGTGCACTTCAGAGCTTCCCGCCCCTGGGGTGGAGGTGGGGAGTTGCAGCAGGCTGCAGACCCCCAGAAACCGGGAGGAGAGAGCGCGGGCTGCTTAGGGCACTGCGGACCGAGGTGAGCGGTCCGAGCCGTGAGGGAGGGGCACAGGCTGCCCTGCCCTGTGGGTGCTGCCCACGGTGCCAGTTCAAGGCAGAGCATTCATTTCTTCCTTCTTGGTAAACCTGCGGCTTCTGCAGTTATCCCAAGCAGAGTCACGAGTCCCCACACTTGCGGAACTCAGCTGCTGTAAACCTGTCTCTGCTTTTGTGGTTTTGGGAGGCTGTACTCCCCAGGCCAGTGGACTGCCCCACTGCCGGTTCACAGGTGCCCCTGCCGTGGAGAGAGAAGGTGAGGACAGCCCCGATGCCAGTTTACAGGGCGGCTGCTGCTGGCGGGGACAGTGGCACTCATGTGGGTGATGCTGGCGCCTTAACCCCGGACAAGGGGTTGTGCCCTCTGGAGAAACGCCAAGCCCATGCTGGGCAGCTCAGTGCGCGACAGAGCACCCGCCCTGACAGTTCCCCCTGGGCCTGCTCCTCCAGCAGACAGGTAGCGGCAGGAACTAGCATCTGTCGAATCCTGTTTTGTGTCCGGTGGAAGCCACCCTGTGGCCCATGATGTCAGTTAACCGCCTCGACAGCTCAGGAAGGTGGGTATACGATTCTCCACAGTTCACAGATCACCCCAGACACGGCAGGGGAGCAGAGTCCCTTAGTTCACACGCGAGAAAAGCGAGCTGTCAGTCACTGGACCCCGGAGCAAAGCACCACTGAGCATGAAGCTCAGGCAGCAGATGTCCATTTCTCGCGGGCTGGAGGCTGGGGTCTAAGACCAGGTGTCTGCTCCCTGCTGCCTTGCTCCTCTGGACATGTGGCAGCTGCCTTGTCCCTGTGTTCCCTTAGTGGACAGAAGCAAGCTCTGGCCTCTCTTGGTCTTGTTAGGACAGTAAATGCCGAAATGAGTCCCGGTGTAACCCCACTCACCTTCTCCAGGCCCTGCCTCCAGGTGCTGTCACGTTGGCGGTTAGGGCTTCCCCAGAGGGATTTGGAAGCACAGGCAGCTGGTAGCAGGGGCCATCCCCACTCCCATGCCTCTGGTGTGGCTGGCTGTGAGGAGATGAGCAGTGCTGTGGGAGGAACTGAGAAGGGGGCAGGGAAGTGGGGCCACCAGGGCTGCGCCGGGGCCCCTGAGTGGCAACCTGACATCTGGGAAAAGATGAGGAGTGAGCAGATGGTGTGCGGGAAGAAAGGTTTGGGTCTTTTTTTTAATGGCGCATGTAAGTGTAAGTTTGGTGCCAGTGTCCACGCACATGTGGACGAAGAGACACAGAGGGAACGACTGGATCAGACTGTCTTTGTTCACCCGTCTGCAGCGCTTGGCTCTCAGAGACGCAGTTTGCTGTGCAGGTGCATCGTTTGTACCACATGGCTCCCGGAGTCTCTTCCGTATGTCAATTGTCAGCAGTTCCTTGGCTGCGTCGTCATAGGATCGTACAAAATACTGGCGTTAGTGCCCGCCTGTCTCCCTTGTCCTGTTCACTTGGTGGCTGGGCAGCCCCAGGGCACATGCAGGATTGCTGGGCACCGGAGAATCCGTGTCTCTGCCTTCCCGTAAGCTGCCAGGACCCTAAGCCTTATGACGTCTCGGGGTGACTGCGGTAAAGGCCGTTCCTGAAACTCCAGCAGGGAACACAAGCCCCCCCCCCCCCGCTCTCCCCCCATAAGTGACCTCATCACTGCCCTTCTCAGAGAAAAGTCATTTACTTACTCATCAGCGTTTCAGAGATAAAAACTACGTGGAGCTGGACTTTTTGTCAAGGGATTTGAGAAGAAAGATTTCAAAAGAGCTAGGAAAAGAAAAGCCTTTAATGACTCTAACATTTAAAACCTAAACAAAGCAGCTGGGCACCAGTGGGAGTGAAAACTAATTAGAAATCAGAATTACATTTGCTTTATCAACGCTAAATAAATACAGAGGAAAGCGAAGGTTGCTTCGTGATTGGATTTAATTTAGTGGAATAATCTGAGTTCTCTGTCTTTGTAACTGTGGGGGAGTTTTTTTGAAGACTGTTCCCCAGGGTAGGTTTTCAGAGACTTGGTGATGTGCTAAGTGTTGTGTAGACTGGGTTGGGGGTGTCAGGTCGTGGGTGGTCCAGAGCTCCCAGAAGCAGGCAGGACCCTGGCCTCAGCTGGGTCTGCAGGGGATGCCTTCCCCGGCCCACTCCTCCTGTGGACAGCATGAGACAGGTGTGTGGTCCCAGCGCGCCATCTCCTCTGTCAGGAGCAGTGGGCCAGGGAGAATGCCATGGGCAAGGCAGCCTCTTCCAGGAGTCCAGATGCCCCCTCCCCACTGCGCCTGTTGAGAGCGGGAAACCCCCCGAGTGAAAGGCACACGAATCCACCTGGCTGCACCCTTTTCCTACCTTCTCTCAACCAAGTGTGCACAGAGCAGAAACCATCTCCGTGTTAAACAAGACTGCTTGGAAATTTATTCCCATTCCTATATGACTGTACCTTTCTTCTTATTGTGGTTAAAAATCCATTACAAAACTTACCATTTGTGAGTGTACAGTTCAGAAGCTTTAGCACATCCATAGTGTGGTGTAGTACATAGATCCCGCCTCACCCTGTCTCCCAGCTTAGTATCATACCAAAAACACACACCCCCTTGTCCTCCTCTCTCAACCCCCAGGAGCCACAGGCTCGCATTCCGTTGCTATCAGCTGGCCTATGCTAGGGACCTAGTCCATGTGGAGTGACACAATGTTTGCTCCTAAATCTGGCTCATTTCACTGAGTGTAGCATCTTCAAGGCTCCTGTGATCTGTAGTATTCCCATTTCACAGACTAGGAAACTGAGGCTTACATTAAATAACTTTCCTAGGGCTGCAGAGATAATGAGGGCAGGGGAAGACTTCAGATCCAGGAGACCACACTCCGAGGCGCTGCTTTCAGTCGCTGTTGACCAGCTGTGTCTCCCAGTGCGGTCCCAGGCCACCAGGTCAGAATCAGTTTAATGTAGATTCGTGAACCCTAGTGCCGCCCCATTCAGGGACAACCTTAGTACCTGTAACAAGTTCCCAGGTGATTCTTAGGTAAGACTAAAGCTTGAGAACTACTTCCTTCTGTCCTGCTAAGCACGCAACTTGGAAAAGATGGTGACGGAGAAAACCAAAACTCCAGTGGGAGTGAGTGCACTCAGATCTGAGGTAGGTTTGAGTGATGGTGGTGGTGGGGATCAGGCCCCAAAGACTCCGCCCCCAGGAGGCCGCAGTGGGCACCCTGGGGCTGCGCTTGTCCTCCCTGTGAGGACACAGTTTTCGTCCCCTGCAGAGGGGACAGCCGTCGGGAGCCAGCTCAGGAGCAGGGAACAGGGAGCAGCCATCGCCAGCCGGGATCTGCTGCCCGACTTCCAGAGCCTGGAGCCCGGCAGGTGAGTCCTTGTTTACCAGTGACCCGGCCGGGTCTGGGTTACAGCAGCTGCACAAAGGACTAAGACAGCATGAGCCGCCGAGGCCTGGCACGGGGCACTCCGAAAGCTCCCTGGGAACATGATTGGAAGGTAAGCTTATTTTGGGGCAAAGCATTTTTGAAACCCATGGCTAGTTTTTCTGTAAGCTGCATTTTCCTAGAGCTTTTGAGTCCTGTGCTTGGTTGTGCTGTCCTGGAGCAACTCGAAGTGTCCACTTTGGGTGTCCTTTGGGGCCTCACAAGGTGGGTTTCTGGGACACACAGAGAGGAGCCTTTTGTGTTAGGCCATATTTTTCACTTCCAGTTTCATGGCCATGTCGCTGTGCATTATGGGTGGAAAACAAACCAGCTTAGTGTCCTGTGCTGCCAACAGGTAGCATCGGAGTGTGTGGCCTAAGGGAGAGGGACGGGGAGCAGCATCCTGCTGTAGGCCTCCTCCCTGAGATCCTGGCGTGTGGAGAACAGAGGTTCACATTCACCCACAGCGATTGGCGTAGTCAACTTAGTGCAAGGCCTATTGAGCCTGCCAGAGAGCAGCCGACAGTACAGAGCTGGCATGATACTAACTTGATCTTTCTTAGCCTCTGACACGGGGGTCTCTGCCGACCTCGCAGAGCGACCCCTCCGTCCAGTTCTGCCCCTCGCCTCCCTTCCACCCTCTCCTATTCTCCTAAGCAGTGTGAGCCTCTCTGTGCTTCCCATGCATCTCTGTTCCCACCTCCACCCCGACCTGTGCGTTTACCAGGGCCCCAGACTCACGCTGACTTTGCCGTTGGACATCCAGCAATTTCAGGCAGAGAATCAAAGGAGCAGTTTTCAAACTACAGGTCAGTCTGACAGCAGTAGCAAATGACCAGAAACGGGCACAGGCTGGGGATTGGCTGGTTGAGCATCACTAGTCAACAAAATGCCACGTGACGTTCAGTGCTGTGGGGAGGAAGATATAACATCAAAATGTGTGTGTTGTGTGACTTGAAGAAATCCTGTTGCCAAGTAGGTGCTGTAATCTGTCAGGAAAATCGTGCACGTGGTGCTCTGAAGGGACCCATGCTGACACAGTCACCAGGCTTGCTTCTGCATCCTGGGATTACGGGTGGCTTGGGGTTTTCCCTTTGTCCATCTGTAGTTCACAAGTTGTTTCATTAGCTATTAACATTTATTTTTCATATAATAGAGGAAAAAACTTTTTTTTTGTAATTGTAAAGTAAGGATGGCATTTGAACTCAGTATCCAATCTTACTGTCTCCCAAAAGTCGAAGAAAGGTGCTATAAATGGATTCTCTCTCACACAACACAGCCATGTATTCAGCTTCACACACAGCCGCATAGGCACACTCACACAACAATCACATACAAAGAGTCGCACACAAAACACAACGGCATACACAAATACACAACAAATTGCACTCATACACAATCTCACGACATAATCACATTCACTCACACACAAGCACACAGCCCATGCAGCACAACTGCACATACATAGACACACATGCATGCAGCGCTGGAACATTGTGGTTCTTAAGCCTGGAGACAGGACTGTGGGTGGCGCTGCACCTGATTTTTCCGTTGTAAGCTAGATATGTTTTCTGTCTTCTCCCTCTGTATCCTGCTTACAGCTCAGAACGGGGGCGGTGCCATCCCAGGAAGATGGCTCAGGATGAAGACGGGGGATGGGCACCGGAGCCGCCTCCCTCTGTGCTTCCCCTCTCCCTCACTGATTCTGCTTGTCTTGTCTTCCCGTCCCATCATTCCTCTGGCCTTTTATTCTTGGTCACACTCTGGAGGGTCCTCAGGGCTGGGGTTTGTTGAGCTGTGTCTTGAGGGATTTTTACCCGTGACTTGATCCCCGGGATTTACATGTGGTCAGACACAGCGCTTAGCCCACCAGTGTGACACGCTGTGACTAGGACAGACTCACAGACAGGATGTAGAACCTCCCCTACCCCGGTCAGCCTGGCACCCCAGAGACTACGTCTGCCGTCACAACCTGCCCTTCTCTGGTCTAGAAGAAAGCCTGGCACCAGTGAGCTACACAGCAGTCACTCCGTTCGTGTCTGTTTCTTTCCTTTTCCTGAACACAACTTTTTTTTTAGAGAATCATCCTATTTTTTTCTTTTACTTCTGAGTGGTTTTCCATTATATGAATACCCTGCCATCTGTTTCCCGTCACCTTTTTCTTAATGTTGTTGTCACTGTTTTAATTTTAGGCCTCCCGTGGATGTGGAATATCTCTTGGTGGTTTTCATTTGCATTTCCTGGTGACTAATCATGCGATACCTTTCCAAACACTCATGGGCAATTTATTTCTCTCCTGAGAAGTGCACATTTAACTCACCTGCCCGTTTAAAAAATGTATTTGAGAGGGAGAGAGAGAAAGAGACAGTTATCACCCCGGATGCCTGCAACAACCAGGCCTGGGCCAGGCCAAAACCAGGGCCGAGAACGTGTTGGTCTCCCATAAGGTGTGTTTGGAGATCCAGTTCCTGGAGCCATCACCAGTGCTTCCCAGAGTTTGCATTAGCAGGCAGCTGAAGGCAGAGTCAGGAACTGAACCCAGGCACTTCGCTGTGGGCCGAGGATGTCTTCACCGCCAGGGTAGACGCCTGCTCCCCATTGACTTACTCAAGGGGCAGAAACCCAGAGAGGGTACTCCCATCCATTACTTCACCGCTAAATGAAGCCAGGAGCCAGGAACTCCATCCAGGTCTCCTATGTGGTAGCAGGAACCCAGCTACCTGAGTTAGCACTGCTGCCTCCCAGGTTCTGCATGACAGGAAGCTGGACTCAGCAAACCAAGGTCCTGGGATGTGGACTTGGGCGTTTTACTGCTACATGAATTGCCTGTTCCGCATTTGCCATTTAAAAGATGATTTTAAAGTTATGCATTATTTGAAAAGCAGAATATCAGAAAGGGAGAGAGAGCAAGAGTGAAAGCAAGCAAGCATTCTCATCATCTGGTTCACTCCCCGAATGCCCACAACAGCCAGGGTTGGGCCAGGCTAAAGCCAGGACTCTGTCCAGGTCTCGAATATTATGGGTAGCAGGGACTCAAGCATTTGGGCCATCAGTTGCTACCTCCTAGGGTAGGCATTCGCAGGAAGCTGTTTTCAGAAGCAGAGGTGGCACTTGGCCGCAGGCACTCTGATGTGGAATGCGGGTGTCCTGAGTGGGGGCTTAATCTGCTGTGTACAACCTCTGATCTCCCGTGTGCCCACTGTAAAAACAGAAGTGCTGTCTCCGCATTATTGATTTGTCAGGCACATGAACCTGTATTTCCTTTCTTTCTACTGCTTGTTTTTTCATGTTTTAGTAATGTCTTGATGAACAGAAGTGTTTAATTTTAATGAAGTTTGAATTGCTGTTTTTTATGGTTAGTACTTTATATAACTTAAGAAATCTTTTCCCAGGATTACAGACATTTTCCTGTATTTTTTGTATGTTTTATAATTGTTAGTTTTCATGTCTGTGTGTATGACACATCTCAGATTTGTAAATTTTTTAAGTGATACAATCATTGTGCATACTTATGGGGTGCAGTGTGACACTGTGGTATGTGTATACATTGTGCCCAGTGTGACACATGTACTTGTATATGCACACATGTGATGTACTCATGCACCAGGCCCCTGTGATGTGTATACATGCATGTACACATATGTGATGCACACACATTGTGCATAATGTGACCCTGTGCTACCTGTACTGATGCACACACATGTACAGTTTGATGCCATGGTGCTATACATGAATGTGCACATATGTGGTGCACACACTGTGACCCTGCAATATGTGTACATATGCACACACATGCAGTGCAGTACAGTGTGTCCAGTGTGATGCCATGATCCACATGCATGCATGTGCACATGCATGACACACATGTAGAGCATGACCCTGTGGTACGTGTAGTTGCATGTGCACATATGTGATACAGTGTACAGTGAGACTGTGCACATTGTACAATGATGAAATCGGGGAAATGAGCCGGTTCATCACCTCAACATTTATGGTTTCTTTGTGCTAAGAGCGTTCAAAATCCTCTCTAGCCTTTTGGAAGCATTCATCACAGTGTTGTTAGGTGCAGTGCCGTGCCATGCAGGACACCAGGACTTGCTCTGATTCTGTCCCCTCCTCCTACCCTCCCAGCTCCTGGTGACCACCGCTCCTCTCTGAGCTTGTATGAGAGTGACTCTTTCAGACCCCACTTGTGAGGGAGGTCACACGGGACCTGTCCTTCCATGCCCGCTTACTGCATTTCATACAATGACTTGCACATCACTAGGCTGAATAGTATTCTGTTGTGTACAAGGTGACTTCAAGGAGTTTGTGGGGAAATGGAATTAAAAGATGAATTTAGGAACAGACGTTTGCCACAGCAGTTGAAATTCTGCGTAGGATGTCTGCACCCCATATCATAGTACCTGGGTTCGAGTCCTGTTTCTCCATCTGACTCTAGCTTCTTGCTAATGCACACTCTGGGTGTTAGCAGGTGGTGGCCCAAGTAGTTGGATCCCTGCCACGATCCTGGGGGACCTTACTGAGTTCCAGCTCCTGGGCTGGAATGTGAGGTCTGTCTGTCTGTCTGTCTCTAAGTCTGCCTGCCAAATGAAAAAAGATGTATTAAAAATTATTTGTAAAGTCAGAATCAAGCACAGTAGAGGCTATTGAAGCTGAATGTGAAACGCTGTGAGACAAAGGAGCTGGGGTTTGCAGGGAGGGCAGGCTGGCCGCGGGCGGGGGTCCCAGAACTGAGGTGGGGAGGGGCCGCGGTGGGCCTGCCCTTCCCACCTGTGGTCTTCCCTGCTGCTGTCCTTGTCCGGAGCAGGGGAGCTGGCGGGCTCTGTCCTCGGGTCCCGTCTGAGGCACCGGGGAATCCGACTGCTCCCGCCCACCTCTCCGCTGAGCGAGCGTCACCGCCTGGATGACACACAGGCTGGCGGCTCTGGGCCGTGCCTTCCTGTGATGCTGGCGGCGGGATCTGAAGGGGCCTTAGTCACAGCACATTTCCAAGTCAGCCAGCGCAGGGAGTGCAGATAACATCGCGCCGCAGCCAAGGAAGCTGCTGCAGAAGTGAGCAGCCCACCTCCCTCTGCGATCGAGCTGCAGGTGTCTTGTTTCCGGCTGCGCCGTTTCGTTTCCCAGGGCTGCTCATCTTCAAAACCTGCTTGTTTTGGTTAATTTCCAGGTTCTGGTCTTAGAAGAAGGCATGGTGCCTGGCTGGATAGGGAGAGCTCCGTGTAGTGGACTTCGCTTCTGCTGTGTTGTGACAAGCTGGGCAGATAGTTAATGCTTTCCTTTGTTCCCATCCTTCTCTTTGGAACCTCCTCACCCATTCACCACGGCAGCTGCATGTATCCACAGCCAACCCCGGAGGGAAAATACTGGGGAAAACTTTAGTCTGCACATGTATGCATTGTGTTCTTGTCTTTATCCCCTGACAGCACTGGGCACCGACTCTTCACTCACATTCTCTCTTTTTTTTTAAACATTTTTTTTTTTATTTGACAAGTAGAAATATATATATATATATATATATATATATATAGAGAGAGAGAGAGAGAGAGAGAGAGAGAGAGAGAAAGGTCTTCCTTCCATTGGTTCACTCCCCAGATGGCTGCCACGGCCGGCGCTGCGCCAATCTGAAGCCAGGAGCCAGGTGCTTCTTCCTGGTCTCCCATGCGGGTGCAGGGCCCAAGCACTTGGGCCATCCTCCACTGCCCTCCCGGGCCACAGCAGAGAGCTGGGCTGGAAGAGGAGCAACCGGGACTAGAACCCGGTGCCCATATGGGATGCCAGCACCGCAGGCAGAGGATTAACCAAGTGAGCCACGGCGCCGGCGCCCACTCACATTCTCTGAGGTCCTGTAAGTCTGCTAGAGATGACTCAACAGAGGGTTAGTTGTGTGCAGCTTTACCAGAAGCAAACACGATGCCACTTTCTGCAAGCGACTTGAGCACCCATGATTTGGTGTCTGTGGGAGCCATCCCCGCGGATTTGAAGGACAGTGGTGTTCTCTTATTCCCAGTTTTTGCAGACCTGGACAGATGTGGGGTCAGTTCCTCCCTGTGGGCAGTTCCTGATCACTGTCAGTTTCTTTTCTTTTCTTTTCTTTTCTTTTTTTTTAAGATTTATTTTATTTATTTGAAAGGCAGAGTTAGCTAGCAAGTGAGTAAGAGGTCTGCCATCTACTGGTTCACTCCCCAAATGACCACAAAAACGGGGGCTGTGCCAGGCCAAAACCAGGAGACAGGAGCTTCTTCTGGATCTCCCTCATGGGTGCAAAGGCCCAAGCATTTGGGTCATCCTCCACTGCTTTCCCAGGTGCTATAACGGGGAGCCGGGTTGGACGTGGAGCCCCTGGGACTCTAACACCCATATGGGATGCCAGCATTGCAGGTGGCAGTTTTACCCACTGTGACACAATGCTGGCCCCTCACCGTCCATTTAGGCCTCATAAATCTAGAGTCCTCTTCCCTCTGTCTCAGTCATTCCTCTGCCCTGTGCTTTCCTCTGTGGGCAGCTGAGCCATCACTGCTGTTGACCTGCTCCCAGCCTAATCTGTGCAGGTGTCACTCCGGTGACATTTCTGCCTAGTGCCCACTTCTCTGACTGTAGATTTGAAGTCTGCTAATGTTGTAATAAGAGGTCATTCCCTCTAATGAAAAATAATAATAGAAGAAGCATATGTATTCTTATAACACTGTTACCATTGCAGTCTGATCAGTGTAATTTATTTTTTTTCAAATGTATTGATTGATGCATTTATTTATTTATTTTTTATTTGACAGGTAGAGTTACAGACAGAGAGAAAGGTCTTCCTTCCATTAATTCACTCCGCAAATGGCCGCCACGGCCGGCACTGCGCCAATCCAAAGCCAGGAGCCAGGTGCCTCCTCCCGGTCTCCCATATGGGTGCAGGCACCCAAGCACTTGGGCCATCCTCCACTGCCCTCCCGGGCCACAGCAGAGAGCTGGACTGGAAGAGGAGCAACCGGGACTAGAACCTGGCTCCCATATGGGATGCCGGCGCCTCAGGCAGAGGATTAACCTAGTGTGCCACCACGCTGGCCCCTGATCAGTGTAATTTAATCACAACTCCATCTGAGTCTGCCCTCTGCGTGTTATGTGTTACATACCTTGATGTTTAATCCCTGTGACCCCAGTCATTGTCACCACCCACAGGGAAGGAAACTTAGGATCACAGATGTCACTGAACCCAGGCATGGCTTTTTCTTTAATCTCTTGTAAATGTTTGTCACTTTCAAACCCAGCATCCTTGCTTCTGGAAATTTTTTGGAGAGCCATATGGCTGACATGGGATCGACATGTGGTGGCAGGGTCCTACCCCCGGCCTCTGAGCCGTCTTCCACATTTCTGTGGACTGGGGTTACGAGAACATCGTTCAGAGTATTTTTGTATATTGACAAGTGACACATACGAGTTGCTGGGGACACATCTGCCCCCACAGGGACTGCAGATGTGCGGGTGGTGCCTGAAGATGGAGTGGCTTGGGGGACAGCCTTGCCGTCAGGTTCCCACCCTGTGCCTGACTACAAACGCCCCTTTGGTGTAAGCTCCACTTTTATGTGAGTCACTTAGAAAGCACGTGAGGCCAGCAGCTCCTGACTGGCTCATCAGTTAAGATGAAGATAGATAGCACACGAGGCTTTCATTCAAAGGCTGATTTCTGCTCACTTCCAGTGGGTGTCTGCTTAAGTTTCTTTTTTCCTGATCTCAAGTACATCTTATCTATTAAAAATAGTTGCATTAAGAAGTAGCCAAGGGGCTGGTGTTATGGCGTAGCTAGTTACACTACTGCCTATGACACTGTCATCCCGTATGGGCACCAGTTTGAGTCCTGCTGCTCTGCTTCTGATCTGCTCCCTGCTAATGTGCCTGTGAAAGCAGTGGAAGATGGCTCAAGTGCTTGGGCCCCTGTACCTGCATGGGAGACCTGGAAGAAGCTCCTGGATCTGGCTTTGGCCTGACCAGCCCCAGCTATTGCAGCCATTTGGGGAGTGAACCAGTAGATGGAAGATCTCTCTGCCCCTTCCACCAGTCCCCCCCACCCCCCCGCCCAGCCACGACTCTGTCTTTGAAATAAATAAATAAATCTTTAAGAAAAGAAATAGCTAAGTCCATCTTTTGCAGAAAGAGAAAAACCACTCAAAAAGTCATGGAAACTGGAAAAGGCTCCAGATAGCCAGAAGAGTCTTCAAACAGCAGAGGAGGCATCAGAGTTCTTTCTTTTTTTAGAATGTAACTTTCCATGTACTTTTAAAAGAGATTTTATTTATTTATTTATTTGAAAGAGTTATAGAGAAGCAGAAGCAGAGAGAGAGGTCCTCCACCCACTGGTTCACTCCCCAGACAGCCACAATGGCCGGAGCTGCACCGACCTGAAGCCAAAAGCCCTCTCCAGGTCTCCCACATGGGAGCGGCATCCCAAGGACTTTGGCCATCCTCCACTGGCCTCCCAGGCCATAGCAGAGAGCTGGATCAGAAGTGGAGCAATCAGGATTTGAACCTGTGCCTGTATGGGATGCCTGCACTGCAGGCAGCGGCCCCACCCACCATGCCACAGTGCCAGCCATGACATCAGATTTCTTGATTTCCACATATCTTACTGGGGCCAGCATTGTGGCACAGTGGGTAAAGCCAGTGCCCACAATGCTGGTATCCCATATGGACACTGGTTTGTGTTCCGGCTGCTCCATTTCCAGTCTAGCTCCCTGTTAATGGGCCTGGGAAAGCAGTGGAAGATGGCCCACGTCCCTGGACCTCTGGACCCACATGGGAGACCTGGAAGAAGCTTGTAGCTCCTGGCTTCACATCAGCCCAGCTCCAGCTGTTGTGGCTATTTGGGAAGTAAACCAGCAGATGAAAGATCTTTCTTTCTGTCTTTGCCTCTACCTCTATATGCAACTCTGCCTGTCAGATAAAGTATGTTAATCTTAAAAAAATTCAGATATTTCTGTGAAGGAGATATACAGATGGCCAAAGGGTACGTGAAGAGATGCCCAACATTGCTAATCATCAAAGAAATCAAAACCACAATGAGATGTCACCTTACACCTGCTTGGATGGCTGTTGTCCAAAGGCTAGGGCAGGGCCCGTGTTGTGGTGTAGTGGGTTACGCCAGCACTGTGATGGTGGTGTCCCATATTCGAGTGCTGATTCCAGTCTTGTTGCCCTGCTTCTGATCCAGCTTCCTGCTAATGTGCCTGGGAAGGCAGGCGAAGATGGCCCAAGTGCCAGTTTAGCAGCAGTCAGTTCCTACGGATGTGGTAGAAATTCACTGCATTTCAGCTTCCCCACATCAGATGTGGCAGGAGTGGGTCCACCTTGTAGTGTAATGTGTGGATGGATGTGTGGGGCCAGATGCTGCCCACCTGCCAGTGCTGGCCGCGTTCTCCCAGCTCCTTGTGGCTCCTGAGGAGCGAGCATTAGTCATCCATGTGCTTTGTGTGTGTGTGAGAATGTGAGTGTGAATGTGTGCAAGAGTATGTGTACCAGTGTATGAGTGCATGTGTGTATGTGCAACTCTGCACATGTAAGTGTATGTGTGAATGTGAGTGCACGTGAACATGAATGTATCACTGTGTTAGTGTGTGTAAGAGTGTGAATGTGTGAAGAGCATACACGTGTGTGACAGTGTCTGAGCATGTGACACGGATGTAGGAATGCACAAGTTAAGAGTGACGATCCATGACTTCGTAATAGAGTTGTGAATGTTTATGAATGTGTAGGACAGTGTGAGTGTATGTGAGTGTGTGTATAAATGAGTGAAAACCAGTGTTCTGTGTGAATGTGAGCATGTGAATTGTGCAAGCGTGTGTGTGTGTGGGGGTGAAGGGCTGTCTCCTTTGTGATGCTAACAAGCAGTACAGAGCTGCAGGGGCACCAGGTGCCGGATTCCCAAACTAGAGAGACTGGGGTCTGCAGGTGAGTGCTGGCCTGGAGTCCAGGGAGAGGCCACGCCGGCGGGGTTGGTGGGGAGAGGGTGAGGGGACTGTGCATGCCTGCTGATTGCCCAGAGTTCCTGCTGGGCGCAGACAGGGTGGGAGACACCTGAAGACGCCCTGGTGTCCGGGTCCTCTCAGCTCGCTGTCCTCTCTCGACAGGCCAGACTTCCACGTTGTCCCTGGAGTCGGGAGAAGGCCGTGGTGGTCGGATCTGTGTCCTTGGGTGCTCTCCTGCAGGGCACTGTGTTGACACAGGTGGGTGCAGTTGGGGTGGGGCTGGGGCTCCCGATTAAATAAGAGGCCCCTCCAGCACTCAGCTCTCTCTTAACTGAAAACATAAAGTCTGACGCCACTGGAGGATCACTGCTTAATTGTGCGTATTTTGAACTTTCCTGCCGTTGAAGCTCTGTGTCTGGCAGGCCAGCGGGAGCCCTGGCCTCTGCCGCAGCAGTGAAGATAGGCTCACTGCTGCGCAGTTCAGGCCCCCCAGGTCATGAGCAATGGAATCCAGCTTCTGGAGGCTTCCGTAACCGGGTGTGTGGGGCTGGCGGCAGAAGGGCAGGCTCTCCCAGCGGCAGGTGCGCGGGAGCTGTAGCTGCGGTCCCCTGCGCCGAGTGTGTGCTGTGTACACGTCCAGGGGGAGCCGTCAGGTTCAGCTAAGGCTCATCATCCAGACACGCAGAGTTAGCGCTCCGTTAAGGAAATGCCACAAACAGCCGGGTCAGGATGAAGGATGAGGGGTGGGAAGAAAGCCGGCCGTTGCATCACTGGCGTGTTCTGTGAAACCAGACGGCGCCACTCTGCCAGTCCCCCCGGGGCAACGTGACAAGCCTGTGTGATAAGGCCGTGTGCGACTGTCAGTCACCTGTCCCTTGCATGTCACAGGGTAGTGGCAGCAGGCTGAGGGTGTGCCCTCCCTGCTGCTGTCCCCTGCGCCCTTCTCCCCACGCCTCCACTCCCTCAAGCTGCGGGAGCTGAAATGACTTGGAGAGCAGAGCCGTGTGCTGACAACCTGTGGCTGACAGCTGGACCCTCGTCATCACCACGCACTTTGTCACCGACACGGGGTAGCTGGCGGGTGCTGAGCTGCCCTCCCACTGCTCTATAAGAGCCCCAGCGAGGGGACCCCAGCAGCATCTGCCCTGGGTCCGGGCGAAGGTGCGGTGTGCAGCGCCGGCCAGCATGTCGCCCGCCTGCAGACTCGGCTGCCACCTCCTCCTGCTCTGCCTGTGCGCGCTACGAGGGCGCAGCCAGGAGCTGGAGGTGCGTCCTGGCCGCGCGCCTTCCTGCCCCTGCTGGGGTCGCCATGCCCTCCGCCCGAGCAGCCCCTCCCTCCCTGCGGCCTCCGGGGGCGTCCTGGTTTGATGGAAAGGGTCTGAGGTCTCGGGGTCCTCCCTGGCCCTGCGGGACACTGACCGGCTCTGGTCGCTCTGCTGAGCCACGAGGGGACGCCGCGTTCCCGGCCCCCGCCTCCCCATCCCTGGGACGTGGCTGGACGGATCCCGTTCTCCTTGCCAGCTGCGGGAAGCGGAGGACTACGACCCCTTCCTGCTCTTCGGCGCCAGCCCGAAACGGGATGCCGACGGGGAGGAGCTGTACCGCCGCACGCTGCGTGAGTCGGGCTGCGGGTCTCAGTGCTGGGTGCTTGGGGGCGAAAGGTCGGGTTTGCGCGGGGCTCAGAGTCCGGGGCTCCGTCACTGGAGGTGGCAGGACTGCCCAGGGTGCGGTCCCCAGCAGAGAACTGGCCGTAGGAGGCTGGCGGGGAAGCGGCGCCAGGAGGGTTTGCGGGAAGCGGTGCGGGGAGGGCGCTCCAGGGAAGGGTGTGAGCCTGGGAAGCGGCGGGGAGAGCACCGCGGGTCACAGGCGCCTCCCCAGGCTGCGTGGACGCGCTGAGCCTCCAGGGCCAGTTCACCTTCACCGCGGACCGGCCCCAGCTGCACTGCGCCGTCTTCCTCATCGCGGAGCCCGGGGAGCTGCTCACCGTGCGCGTCGACCGCGCCTCCCTGGACTGCCCCGGCGGGGACTTACTGAAGGTGAGGACACCGCCCGGGGCCGCCTGGGGCGCCCCAGTTCCTCTCCGTGTGCTCCACACCAGGAACTTGTAGAGACTTGAGCGCCCTGGGGTCTGCCAGGCTCCAAGCTGCAGAGCTGCCCCGCGCCTGAGGCTGTGGCTTGCTTGCGCCAGATGCAGCCATGCGTGCCCTGGGGCTCTGGGGGGGGGGGGCCCCGCAGGCCACAGGAAGGCAGTGGCTCCTACCCACATCGCCCCACACCCGCATCCAGCCGGGCTCCCTGCAGGACAGGTGCCTGGGGCGCACCCGGTGAGGTCCTGGGTGCTGGAGGCTTCCCCGGGTGCAGACTGCGCTGGGCGTCTTGGGAGCAGTCGCTGGCGGGGCTGCAGCCAAACCTTTTTGTGGAGGGAGCGAGCGAGAGAGAACGAGAATGAATGGGAGGGGGCGTGTGGGTGTTGCTGAGGGCTGTGGTCTTCAAAAGTTCCCACAAAATGTGTGCTCAGAAGTTTCTGCACCAAAAATAAGCTGCTCTCCACTCCGTGTTGAAGTGCGCCCTTAGAGCCGCTGGCGGGCGAATGGTTGCCCCAGCTTTTCTCCCCCTGCGTGTCCGTGACCAGAGCAAGGGCAGGAGCCGAGTGAGCCCCGATTCCGCAGGATTCTCCTGCAGTGCTGCGGGAAGCAGGACCAGGATCAGAGCCACAGTGGTGGAGGTGGTAAACAAGGCATAGGCGAGCAAATGAATGGGTAAAATTACTGCCCCGGCCCTGACAGTCGCAGTGAGCAGGTGGGAGTGTGAGCTGCCTCTGCCTGGCTCTCCCCCCGCCCCCTCAGCACCCCCGGGGTTTCAGGACTGACGGGGTCACCAGGTCTGTGCCCTCCCTAAGGTGTTTTTTTTTTTTTTAACTGTTTGAGTAGCAGTTTTACCATTAATTCGCATAGTACATCACATTAAGGGCAGAGGTCCTACAGGTGCACAGTGACTGCCGTTGTTGATTTAACAATGACACTCTTATTTATCCAAAGGTCTTTGATGGCTGGATTCTCAAGGGGGAGAAGTTCCCCAGTTCTCAGGACCACCCCCTGCCCACACCTGCGCGCTACTTGGATTTCTGCACAGGGGCCCTCAGCGGACAGAGCGTCACATCCTCCCAGAACGTGGCCATGATCCTCTTCCGGGTCCACGAACCAGGAAATGGGTTCACAGTGACCGTGAGGACAGATCCCAACCTCTTCCGTAAGTAGGCCTTGGGGGCGGAGGTGGGGCGTTGCTACCTGAGGGCTGATTTGAATGGAGGTTCTTTTGTAATTAGAAGTGACCTCAGTGATATTTTCCGTTTGTCATTATGAAAATCGAATTTTTCTTTCTTCTCCAAAGTCTTGCCCTGACCCCCTCAGCCACCTGGTGAGTCTGGCAGCACTTTCGCATCCTGTGTCGTTGCCCACATCTAGGCTAAGCTGAGGGAGCAGGCGAGAGTTGGGTCCTGGTCACTCCTAGGCAGGTGGAAGGCTGCAGGGCAGGGAGGTGGGGGCACAGGGCTTGTCCCGAGCACCTGCAGGCGCCTTCTGCTTAGTTCCTGTCTGCTGGGCACTCGGAGACGGCGCTGTGAGACGTGGCAGCCTGAGCCTGAAGCAGTGAGTTCACTCCCTGCTTGCTGCTTTTTCCCCAGAGAGAGAAATCAGAAACATGGACTTCATTACTTCAGGCTGCCCACAGTGGTATTAATAAACACCTTGTCCTCATCTGCTCGACAGTAACATGCTGTGGTCGGATTTCTATTAAATAACAGTATTTTGGAAGACGCCACCACCCCTAAAAGGCTGTTTCCAGGGGTGGGTGCAGGATAAATCTGGAGGGAAAAAAACCAGATGTTTCTACTGTTTTGTCTGGTTAGGGACTAGAATCTTCTAGAATCATTCAGGAACCTTCTAGAATTGTCAGGGACTTTGACTTTTAAACTAAAACAGCAGGAGGCGGCCACAGGTGGCTCTGACCTGTTCTGGTTCACCAGAAACTTTTATCCCAAAACTGGCAAAAAAAAAAAGTGCAAAATCTAATGCTTCTGGTCTCACCATCACCTCTAGAAGAGTAAATACATTGTGATGAAAAAAGTTTCAGGAATTTCTGTAAATTAAACGTTGAGAGATTACCTTTTTGTCAGCTTACCACCCCACCCAGCAAATATTTATGGCCTAAGCCTGCTGTCTATTTTTTTCAGCCTATTTTGTCAGTATTATAAACTGCTCAAACATTTATCATTTAAAAATAACGATATTGCTATAGACAGGCAGGGGTTGACTTCTGGACTTGCTTTTTTTTTTTTTAAAAAAAATTTTATTTGAAAGGCAGAGTTATGGAGGGGGAGAGAGAGAGGGAAAGATCTTCCATCTGCTATTTCACTCCCAAGATGGCTTCAAATGTCACAGCTGGACCAGGGACAGGCCAGGACCCTGGAACTTCATCTGGGCCTCCCATGTAGGTGCAGGGGCCCAAGCACTTAGGTTATCATCTACTGCCTTCCTGGGTTCATGAGCAGAGAGCTGGACTGGCCCTCACATTGGGTGCCTGCATTGTAGGCAGCAGCTTAACCCACTGACCATAGCTGGTGCCTGGCCTCACCCCTAAGCCCTAATTCTTCCAGATTCCTGGCTTGCCCTTGGGCCCTGTGGGCTGAAGTGTCGCTGGAGCCACTCCTTTCTGTATTGTTGGGTTGATTGTAATGGTTACAGATGGCAGCATCGGAGGCCCCCTTGCTGCCGGCCTCCAGGCCATGTCTGCCTGTCCCTGACCGTTTTTATCCCCAGCCCCGAGTCTCCAATGGCCCTTGCACTGTGTGCTCTCTTCTGGGTACACCGGTCCCACCGCGTGCAAAGGTGCTTAGAGTAAAGTGGCAGTGTTTCTGTAAAACCCGGCACGCCAGCCAACGCAAACGTGTTTTCCCCACAAAGCCTGCAACGTGGTTTCTCCGACTCCGAGCGGAAGGTTCACACTGGTGGTGCCGCGCCAGCGCCGCAACTGCAGCTTCTCCGTCGTCTACCCGGTGGTGATCAGAATCTCTGACCTCGCCCTGGGCCGTGTCGGAGGTCTGCATGTGCAGGTGAGCCATTCTCTGGCTGGCTGCGGGTGTCAGCGGTGCGCGCTGGCCTGGCGGCGGGCGGGCGGGCGGGCGTGCTCAGGTGCCAGTTCTGACGCCGTGGCTGCGTTTCTGGGGACGCGGTGAGCTGCACTCTGTAATTACAGTTGAGCTCCCTTGTGCCCGCCTCTGAGATCGCCGTGCCGATGCCGGGGTGACTCATGCACACAGCTGCTTCCCTGCTGCTTCCGATCTTCCTTCCACACCCAGGAAGCAGCTCATTGACAAAGCTGCCACAAGGGATGCCAACTATAGCAACAAACACGAGAATGGGTTTTTATATTGCAAAATACAGCAAAAGTTTCAAAGAGTAATTTGCATTAAATTTAGTCCAATACATTTCACTTTCAAAAAAAACACCCACTGAGAACCATTATCAGCTTGTTTTCAAGTGAGCCTCTGCATGGGCCTCCACACCCAGGCTGAGCTTGGTTGACCTGCCCGGAGCTGCCCTCCTGGGTCGCCGTCATCCGCCGTGCCCTGTCAAGATAACTCACGCGCTGGCGTCTGTCAGAGGCAGTCTTTATGCCCAGAGTTCAGTGAAAGCTAGTGAGTGCGTCCGTCTTCCTCCAAGCCCTGAGCTCACCGCCGGTGCCTGTAGTATCTTTTTTGGCTGCAGCTTAGTGGAAGAGGGGAACGCCTGAGGGCAGCCCTGATGGCCTGGTGCCATCTGTGTGTCACTCCGGCCGTAAACGCTGGTTCTGTCGAGGCTCTCAGGAGCGATCGTGGTGTCTCTTCTCAACAATCTGGAGCCCATGGCGTCCTAGGCACCTTTTGCCTATGTGCTGTTTCCTGAATCCTTGCTGTTTGCCTGACGCTGTTCTGGATGCTAGAAATGGGCTCCCAGGTCCCCTGTTTCACAGAGTGGTCAGAGCTGCAGGACGCTGCCTCAGAGCTGGGCGGTGCACAGTGTGGACAAGGTGGGCAGAGAGGGCGGGAGCTGCGGGGGGTACGGAAGCGTCCGAGCAGCAGCCCTGAGAGTGAGCTTAGAGCAGCAGTCAGCAGCTGGGAGCAGGGTGCAGAGGGGTCAGCAGGCAGGGGCTCGGAGGCAGGCTCAGGCGGGTCAGCAGGACCGGGGCTCGGAGGTGGGCTCAGGCGGGTCAGCAGGACCGGGGCTCGGAGGTGGGCTCAGGCGGGTCAGCAGGACCGGGGCTCGGAGGCAGGCTCAGGCGGGTCAGCAGGACCGGGGCTCGGAGGCAGGCTCAGGCGGGTCAGCAGGACCGGGGCTCGGAGGCAGGCTCAGGCGGGTCAGCAGGAACAGGGCTCAGAGGCAGGCTCAGGCGGGTCAGCAGGCAGGGGCTCGCAGGCAGGCTCAGGCGGGTCAGCAGGCAGGGGCTCGGAGGTGGGCTCAGGCGGGTCAGCAGGACCGGGCTCGGAGGCAGGCACAGGCCTGCTGGTGGCCAGGCGGCAGGGCCAGAGCGTGCTGAGCCCGAGGGCGTCCAGTAGCACTGCAGCGGGCTTGCGGGAGAACAGTGGGAAGTGTGGGTTTCTTTTGGTGTAGAAAGAGTAAATTGTGCATAGCTTTATCGTATCTGCGTTTTTCACGTATCATGAAGAAAAGTGTTTTTGCACCAAAATAAACTCGTTCCTTCGTTCCCATTTTGAAGGCCCCTGGTGGTGAGGAGCTCGAGGGTAAGTGTGGTGGGCAGCCACGGACGGGTTCAGGCAAGACAGGGACGTGAGCCGATTTGAAGGCGATGTGGCCCCCACGTGGGGAGTGGGCTGGACTTTGGTGGTCACGGTGGGATGCTATTTGATTGTTATTGATGTGCCTCTCGGGGTTATTTCCTGCAACAGGACAGCCCAGATCTTTGTAAGCTGGACGATGAGCTCCACCAAGGAAAACTTAGGTTTTGCACACTGAGCAGTGTGGTTGTCTCACAGTGGGTGCAGGGGTCCCCTGAGTGTACTGGCGCAGCCCAGGCTAGAGAGAGCTGTGGCTGGGAACCGCAGGAAAAGTCAAGGGGATCCTGCGGTAGAGGGAGCCCCAGGGGGGTCTCCCAGGGGCTGCCCCTGTCCGTAACCAAAGCAAAGTCCCAGGACACCTGGACGGGCAGAGCAGCGGCCTCGTGTCCGCATGTCTTCCTAGTGTCTTCCTTTCCTACTCTGACGCTGCCTGCTGAGACACGGTGGCCGCAGAACCGAGTTCAGCCGCAGTGAAGCTCCCGGGCAGAGCGGTCACGTTCTCCCCTCCTGCTCTAAGCAGCTTGGTCAGCTCCCTGTGCCAGAACACAAAGCGGGGGACACGTGCGGCTCATGAAGCCGCCCTCACCTGTGGGTGCAGCGGCGTGCGGAGCTCTGAGCCGAGCCCCAGCCCCAGCCCCAGCCCCAGCCCCAGCCCCAGCCCCAGCCCCAGCCCCAGCCCCAGCCCCAGCCCCAGCCCCAGCCCCAGCCCCAGCCCCAGCCCCAGCCGGCCTTCCACACGTCCCGCCTGCCTGCTTGCCTCAGCCCAGCCACTGTCCTGTTGTTTTCTAACATGCTGTTTAGTTCTGTTTGTGTTTCTGTGTCCTTCTGAGTGTGTGGCTGTGTGGGCTTGTGTGTGTGTCTGAAGTTCTCTGTTGGGCCCATCTGGTTCACCCCACCAGCTCTCTTTAAGGAAGAGGGGCGCAGGCAAAAGCAACTACACAAATGGCAGGGGGCAACACAAGACGAAAATGTGGGGGCCTTGTTAAAAATGAGCAGCTCGAGATTGCGACCCAGCTCAGACGAAGCACGGAGACCCTGTGAGCATGGCCCTGGGCTGCTGGTGCCAGGCCCACGAGGGAGCCCGGTCACAGGCGACAGGGGTCTCTCCAGGGCAGGTAGGAGTGGCTGCCCTGCTGGGTGGGGTGCTAGGGGTGGCGGGAAACAGAGGGGACTCTGTCTCAGACTCCACCCCTCTCTTGATCAGTTTGGAAACATGCTTTTGTTGAAAGGAGAAGGATGTAGGTAGCTCCTGGCTTACGTGGCCCCAGTCAGAGCTTAGTCTCTCCTCTGTGCTCACGGCTGTCTAAGCCCATAAGGTGGACATGAAGTATTCCAACAGCGGGCACTTGCCTTCAAGAAGGAGAGGGGAAGGGGTGAGCTGAGGGGAGAAACGAGGTAGAGGCCCCGTTTGTAAATGCAGGTGCTGGACTCTGCGGCGCTCAGGCCATGTGCAGGAGGAGTGCGGGTGACTCATCAGGACGTGAAGGGCAGGCGTTGCAGCCCCGCTCCACACAGCTTCTATCTCACAGATTCACTGTTTGTCGTTCAGATGCTTGAGCTGAAAATGACTCACACACATTCAAAAAAATGATTGCTCAGCCGACTTGGAAAAGCAGCCCTCGTGATCTTTCCCTTTAAAGCCTCTGATTTCCGGGGTCCCGGGAGCGCCACTGAATGGTGCCGCCCGCGGGGAGGCTGGCTGCGTCAGCTCTCTGCCCTGTCCTTGGTGGGCTGGCTGGACGTCCTTGGGGGCCTCAGCGTCTTTCTCTGCCGCTTGTTCTCCTAGCTGCCCTCGGCAGGTTGTGGGGGAACAGGAGACTTCGTGGAGCTGCTGGGCGGGACCGGATTGGACCCTTCCAAGATGACGCCTCTGGCCGATCTCTGCTACCCCTTCCGTGGCCCTGGTGAGAGACTTGGGACCCTTGCTTACGCGCCTGAAGCAGAACACCTGCAGCCTCCAGTACACGGAACACTCTGCACGTGGGACCAGCGCACAGATTTTACACTGCAGCCTGTGCACAGTGTCAGAGCTTTCAGGTTCTGTTTCCCTGGGGTCCCTGCCTCCCTCCCCCAGAGGCTGATAGGTTTGTCTGGTAACTGAACAACGTAGATCAGACAGTAGGTGGATCACTGATCAGTCCTGGTGTAATGATGACGTGGTAATGAAGCTTCCCACACATATGGGACGTGAGCAGGAGACTCAGTAGGTGAACAACACAGTGAGGAGCTGCATTAGAAATTCTCAGAACTGCCGAGTGGGCTGACTTCCAGCAGCCAGGACCCCCTGCAGGGCCCGTGACACAGAGCTAAAGTCCAAAACCTCCCCGTGTCTCCTGCCACACGGGCTGGCTCAGTGCACGGCATGCTGGCACAGCCAGGAGTTCCCATTCGCTCACACTAAGGTGGCCGAGGCTTGGTGAGGATTACCAGCTTGGTACCAAACCAGACCAGGCAGTCTGACCTTTCTCTGGAGGTCACTCCCAGAGCTGGTTCAGGTTCCCTGGACTGACTCCCAGGTAAAGCAAGGTAACCAGTCCCTAGTTGTGTGGTGAATTCCTTCGTCAGTGCAGACCACCGACCTACCGGGGAACGAGGCTGCAGAGGGGCCGTCCGACCCGCCAGCTGTTACTGCCAGAGGCAGACCAGGTCAGCCACCAGAGCTTTCTCTGAGCAGATGCTGAGACCTTAACAAACACACTGGCTCTGAAACAGAATTCATATCCACAGCTAAGCCTAAGGCCCGGGATATCTGTGCCCTCTGTGGACACACCTGGTCAAAAAGGGTTCCAGTGGCATTTCAGGTGGGCTAGGGCTCAAGGCTGTCTAGACAAGGAGAGGGCAAATGGTTTCTAGAAACCAGTTTCCTGGAAACCAGAGGTTTCTGTGAGGCCAGCCACAGTGAGCCCTGGTGTCCCGGGCACTGTGCAGCCTGCTCGGCCACGTGAGGCCAGCCACAGTGAGCCCTGGTGCCCTGGGCACTGTGCAGCCTGCTCGGCCACGTGTGTGCGGTCTCCAGACCCTCCCATGCCAGTTATGGACGGTGTCTTTGCGAAGCCACTGGGGCAGAAGACGAAATTGCGACCGAAGGACACTCATGCCTTAGAACTTAGGTAACTGAGGCAGGAGGTGCTCTTCTGCTGGAGGGGTTTGGTTTGGTTTGCATTAGGCAAAAAAATGACATGAAGGCCAAAAAGCACTTTGGCCTGCATTGCTTAGATAATTGAAACCAGTTTTAAGACAATGTGAAGGCTTGGGTTATCGCACTCCTTGGTTCATTTTAAACCTCAGTTTTTCATTCATTTACCATATCTTATGAGCACCTCCTAAGTTGTTAAAAAAATATACAGAGAAGTAGTCAGGACTCTGAACTTTTTTTTTTTTTAAAGATTTATTTGAGAGGCAGAGTTATAGACAGAGAGAGGTTACAGAGAGGCCTTCCATTTGCTGGTTCACTTTCCAAGTGGCCCCAACAGCCAGAGCTGGGCTGATCAGAGGCAAGAGCTTCTTCCCAGTCTCCCACGCAGGTGCAGGGGCCCAAGGACTTGGGCCATCTTCCACTGCTTTCCCAGGCCACAGCAGAGAGCTGGATGGGAAGTGGAGCGGCCAGGACCGTAGCCGGCACCACAGCCAGCACCACAGGCGGAGGTTTACCCCACTGAGCTACAGTGCAGGACCCCAGGACTCTGAACGTTTAACATGAACTGTATTCAGGATTTTCCCAAAATAGTAATATGCACATATCTAAAGGAATTGGGTTGTCTTAGGGAAGTGTCGCACTAAGATCAGGAAAGGGCCGACGTGCACGGGGGCCCTGGTGGATCCCTCATTCAGGACCCCTGGCCTCACACTGCCCTAGCTCCAGGGCGCCTCCTCCCTGTGCCCTTCGCTGGCTTTCCGTTGGACTCACCTCCACTGTCCCACGGGAGGGGCTGGCACTCAGAATTTGGCAGCGTCCTGTGGGGACAGAGTGGGTGGGAAGTGGCAGAGGCACCGCTGTGGGGACATGAGCCAGGGAGCCTTGACAGGCTCGGTGGTGAGAGCAGGACCACCCACACAAGTGGGGAGTGAGCCTGGGTGTGAGAGGCACCAGCCGTCGGAGCCGTCCCCAGGAGAGGGTGCGGGTGGATGTGACACCCACCACGTGCTCCGCGTGTCTGCACCGTGCTGGCGACTTCTTGCCCCTGGTAACCTGGGCTCCGGCCTGGCTCCTGAAAGTGCTACACACCGGTGCCCCAGTCTGTGCCTAAGTGCCAAGTGTTCACCCTCTGCCCAGAGACGGGCAGCCAGAGCTGGGCACTGGGGGCGGGGGCGGGGTGGCCTTGTGGGCCTGAGCCCGTTGTCGTGCAATGAGACAGCGGGGGCAGAGCCAGAGCAGGACCTCTGCCCGCCCGCCCGCCTGCTGGAAAACTTTCCTTCTTTCCTGCCCGTTACAGCACAGATGAAAATCGGCTGTGACAGCGCCGTGGTGCGCATGGTCTCCAGCGGGAAACACGTCAACCGCGTGACCGTTGAGTACCGCCAGCTGGAGCCGCAGGAAGTGGAAGCCCCGAGTGGGAACAGCCTGGGGCAGCCCTGTGTGTCCGGCCCCTGAGTCCCCGTGCCACGACCAAGCGCGTGGACCGTGGTGACCCGCCCGCGGTCCTCGTGTCGGTCAGAACCCCAGCCCTGAGCACACCTCCTTGTGGACTTCCCTTCTCTGTAATCTGTAAATGACCATGGTCAGCAGGGAAGCCCCTTTTGATGGGAGCAGCGTTCAGTGGGGAGCTTTGCAGTTCTTGGCGTGCCGAAAAGCGGAGCTGGCACGGCAGCGCAAGGCAGCCTGCAGGAGAAAACCGGATCTCCAGGGGGGTGCGGCAGAGGAGGAAGCGGAGCGCGTGGCGTTGGACTCCGTTTCCACAGGAAGCCCCGAGGCCGCGGATCCCCCAGGAGTTGCCCCTGTCGAGTATTTACGTAGGTTGTAGTTGTAGCCGTGTGTGACTTGTAACCTCTTGTTTTCCTCAACTCTGTAGCATGGGAAAAGCTACGCACGGAGGTGAATAAATCACGCTCAGAGGTGGCGCCTGGCGTCGCGCTGTTTGCTCTCTCGCTGCCGTCAGAAACCAGCGTCTCATTTGGTGCACGGCTGAGTGGCCTTGTGCTTCCCAGAGCCGCAGAGGACGGCAGCTCTGGAGTGGAACTGTTTGGGGCAGAGGCACACGCGCGGCTCGCACAGCAGTGGGGCTGTGGGTCCTGGCAGGGAGCTGGCACAGAGATGCGGATTCTACCCTCCTCTGGGCAATGCCAGGGCTCAGGGCGGGACCTCAGCACTGCCCCAGACACAGTACGTGCTGTTGACCTTGGTGTGACACTGGCTGGAGGTGAAGCAGGCAGTGTAAGCAGAACAGGGCCTGAGCAGCAAGGGAGATGCTCCCGCGTGAAGCTTCTCTGGGGCCAGTGGGTGGTCGCTTCAGACTGCACCCGAGCGCCGGCCCGATTCTGAGTTCCGAGACAGGCTTAGTATAAAGTTCACCGAATGGGCTGAATCGCACCCGCTACCTGAAGCCCAGACGGGAGGAAATCACCAGGCCAAAGTGCCGCAGACCTCGAGGATTCCACAGAGGCTTTGGCTCAGGCCGTCTGCAGGAGTGAGGGAGTGAGGGCTCACACTGTGTCTGGCTCAGGCAGTGTGTAGGAGTGAGGGAGTGAGGGCTCACACTGTGGCTCAGGCCGTCTGCAGGAGTGAGGGAGTGAGGGCTCACACTGTCTGGCTCAGGCGGTGTGCAGGAGTGAGGGAGTGAGGGCTCACACTGTGGCTCAGGCGGTGTGCAGGAGTGAGGGAGTGAGGGCTCACACTGTGTGTGGCTCAGGCGGTGTGCAGGAGTGAGGGAGTGAGGGCTCACACTGTGTGTGGCTCAGGCGGTGTGCAGGAGTGAGGGAGTGAGGGCTCACACTGTGTGTGGCTCAGGCGGTGTGCAGGAGTGAGGGAGAGCTCACACTGTGTCTGGCTCAGGCCGTCTGCAGGAGTGGGAGTGAGGGCTCACTGCCTGGCAGGTGTTGCTTGCTGCTTGGTTGTCTGTGCCCGGGCCCTCCCCATGCCTTACGCTCTGAAGGGTGCCGTGATCCCGGGACACAGGTGCCTGCCGGGGCTGCTCAGGACTGTGACCTGGGGCCAAAAAGCAGGCTGACCGTGACCATCGCCCTGGAGGATGGGTCACCTCTCTCTGGGCCACGCCTGCCTCAGCACAGCAGACTCGTCTGTGGGCTCTGCCTTGCTCCAGGACCGATCCTGAGTGCAGGCAGGACTTGGTGGGACGTGCTGGTCATGAGTAGTTGACCCACAGAGTGCGTCTCGGCTTCCTCCCCCCGCACCCCATTCCAGTGTCTGTGGTCTTCCTAGATCTTGGGCATTTGACTCTTACTCTTGCCTGGGCCTGGTCTTGCCCTTGCTCCTGCCCCTTGGTCTTCCTGAACTATTGAGGTGACCAGGGCAGCTCTTGGCCTTCTGCTAATGGGTTGTCTCCACCTGCTCTGCAGCTGCCCTCTTGAGGGAGACTTTGGCTCAGGACAGAGTTCAGTGATGAGACTTTGTCCAGCCTCAGGCTTTCCTTCCCTGGAAGCAGCCTTGCCAGAGTGTTCTCAGAGAGTAATGCTTTGCTGGACAGGGCTCTCTTGTAGGCTGTTTTGCTTCTGAGCTCAAAGGCACCATGGAGTGGCGGAGAGGAGGGCCTATTATGGGGCAATCATGTGGAATTACACCTGCGCGCGCACTCATCCTCACAGGCAGTGTGCCTTTGGATGTCCGGATAAGCAGGCTGAAGGGCCTCTCTTCTAATGGGTCCTCTGTCATGATTACCACCATTTTTCTCTTCACATTTGAAAGCGTTTTTTTCCCTACACAAAGAACCATGTGGGGGAGGAGATGCAGGGGAGAGGAAGCTTGATGAGAGGGTTCGAGAACATCATGAAAATCATGGGCTCTAAAATGGCCTCTGGGCTTGGCTCCTGGGAGTGGGAACAGCCGTGCCCTCAGGCCCTCTGCAGCCAGGGCTCGGAGTGAGAGGTGTTTGTACTACAGGGCTGAGACCCAACGCCAGCTCCAAGACAGGAAGCTGGGAGGCTGAGCAGCGCCGTGACCTTTGTGACTGACTGCAAGGGTCATCGGGCTTTGGGGACTCCTGTGAGAAGATGGACCCCTTCTCCCACTGACTCCACGTCCCCCATCAGAGGACACGTCCTGAGTGGTTGACAGCCCACCAGGCACAGGCAGAGCAGAGGGGCACCTGTGTGGTGTGGTGCGAGGGGCAGCCAGAGGCCCACCCAACTGAACACACCACCCTCCACTGAAATTCCCGCTCGCAGCCCTCTGCCTCTTGTTCTTTAAGACATAGTTTACAGAAGCAAGTCACTCCTTTCCCTGTTGTTTTGAAGACACAGAGATAATTAGTTGATGACACAACGGGCAAATCAGTACGTTGGCTGCAGAAGATGTTGTCCACTTGGGACTGGCATGTGACGCAATGGGTTAAGCCACCACCTGCAACACCAGCATCCCCTATTAGAGCGTCAGTTCATGGCCTGCTCCAATTCCTTTTTTTTTTTTTTTGACAGGCAGAGTGGACAGAGAGAGAGACAGAAAAAGGTCTTCCTTTGCCGTTGGTTCACCCTCCAATGGCCGCTGCAGCCGGCGCACCGCGCTGATCCGAAGGCAGGAGCCAGGTGCTTCTCCTGGTCTCCCATGGGGTGCAGGGCCCAAGCACTTGGGCCATCCTCCACTGCACTCCCTGGCCACAGCAGAGAGCTGGCCTGGAAGTGGGGCAACCGGGACTAGAACCCGGAGTGCCGGCGCCGCAAGGCAGAGGATTAGCCTAGTGAGCCGGGGCGCCGGCCAACCTGCTCCAATTCCAGTCCAGCTTCCTGCTAATGTGCCAGGGAAGGCAGCAGCAGATGGCCCAAGTGCTTGGGCCCCTGTACCATATGGGAGACCCTGTTGAAGGTCATGGCTCCTGGCTTAGGCCTGTGGCCATCTGGGGAGTGAACTAGTGGATCGAATATCTCTTTGTTTCTCTGTGACTTTCTCTACCTTTGTCACTGTTTTCAAATAAAATGAAATTTTTTTTCTTTTCAAAGATATATTTACTTATTTGAAAGGCAGAGTTACAGAGAGGCACAGAGAGAGAGAGGTCTTCCATCCGCTGGTTCACTCCCCAGATGACCGCAGCGGCAGGAGCTGTACCGATCCGAAACCAGGAGCCAGGAGCTTCTTCCAGGTCCCCAACATGGGTGCAGGGGCCCAAGGACTTGGGCCATCTTCTGCTTTCCCAGGCCAAGGCAGAGAGCTGGATCAGAAGTGGAGCAACCGGGACTCAAATCAGTGCCCATATGGGATGTGGCACTGTAGGTGGCAGCTTTACCTGCTATGCCACAGTGCAGCCCCCCCCCCCCCCCGCCAATAAAATCTTTATAAAAACTTATTGCCAACCAGTATGACATACATGGAACTGACAGGCAAGTTTTGGATAAAGGTGAGCGTGTGAGTGGAGTGAAGAGTATGAGATGGTGGGACTGGCGTTGCGCATCAGGTGGCTAAGCTGCTGCTGGTTACTCAGGAATCCCATATCAGAGCGCCTGTTTGAGTCCCGGCTCATCCACCTCTGATCCAGTTCTCTGCTAATGTGCCTGGGAATGCAGTAGATGATGACACAAGTGCTTGGGCTCCTGCACCACAGAGAGACCCGGATGGAGTTCCGTTTTTCAACCTGGCTCAGATCTGGCTGTTGCAGATATTTGGGGAGTGAACCAGTGGGTGGAAGATCTTTGTGTCTTTCTCTGTCAGCTAAGTTAAATTAATCTGGTGAAGGAGAAAGAGGCCCAGAGGAGAGCAAGGGCCAGCACGTTGTTGCCAGTGCCAGCAGCTGGCTGGAGTTTGTAGAGAAGCAGAGGCAGCTGCCTGTGGGGCTGAGCCAGTCAGACAGATCTTTGTTTCTCCTTGGCTTTGCCTGGGGCCAGCTCAGGCTGCAGTCCCACTGTGTGAGATGGACAGGGCCAGCTCAGGCTGCAGTCCCACTGTGTGAGATGGACAGGGCCAGCTTGGGCTGCAGTCCCACTGTGTGAGACAGGGCCAGCTCAGGCTGCAGTCCCACTGTGTGAGACGGACAGGGCCAGCTCAGGCTGCAGTCCCACTGTGTGAGACAGGGCCAGCTCAGGCTGCAGTCCCACTGCGTGAGATGGACAGGGCCAGCTTGGGCTGCAGTCCCACTGCATGAGACGGACAGGGCCAGCTCCAGGTCTGAAGCAGGGAATAGACCTGGGTCCAGGCTTCACCACAGAGACCTCCCAGGCACTAGGCAGCTGCATGTTCTTGCGTGAGTCGTTGGGCTCCCGGGACATCAGCCTGCTCCCAGCCTGGGGGCAGGCGCACCTGCCTGTCCATGCATTGCTTAGTGAAGGGCCCAGCACCTGTCTGGACGCCAGGTGTGTCGGTGTGTCTGCTGCACATAACTGTCTCCAATGCTGTAAGGAAGTTTGCTATTGAAGGAAGCAGAGGTGGCTCCTTTAAGTGATGCACATTTATTTGGTAAAAAGAAAATAGCTTGGGTTTTTGTATCATCAATTGGCTCCTCATTTTTGTTCTGAAATAGGCTTACCTCTACAGTGTTTCCTCATCAGGGAATTGAATAGGGTGGTCTGTTTGCAGGGTCCATGAAACAGCGGCTCATCCTAGCACCGGCTCGGAGAAAGCCCGTCCCTGCCACGTCATGTCAGGGTGGCCAGCAGGCACCTCTGCTCTGTGCCCGCTCCCACCCCCACCCCCTTCGGTGCAAAACAACCTGGGCCACACAGTGAGAGCCCCTTGGGGACCGGGAAATACGGCTCCAGGGGGAAGGCAGGAAGGAGTGAGGCTGGCGTAACTCTGTGTAAGGCTGCAGGCTCGGAAACAAAACAGAACACAGCGCCTGCATCTCAGGCAGACAAACAGGAAGACGGCGTCTGGCCTTGTCCTGAATCCAGACCGTAATGGAAGCTGGTGTTGACTCAATACCTGGTGTGCTCCGTGCACTGCTCTGCAGCCTTGCCATGAGTTAAAATGTTCACACCTGACTCCACTTTGCTGGTGGGGAAACCGAGGCCAGAGCACCAATCACCCTGGAACGCGGTGGAGCCAGGCTTTGGCTGCTGGCGGTGACCCCAGCGCTTGCCGCCTCCCCTGGTGCTGCCTGTGCGAGGCTGTGCCTGCTGAAGCACCGGCTGGCAGTGGCATCAGAAGCATTGCCATTCCACTCCTCCGTGAGAGTGAGACCACTCTGAGGACAGGGCGAGCAGGCCAAGGCCACGGCTCATGCAAGCATCTGTGGCCAGGCCAGGCGCCCGGGTAGTTGTCTGATACTGGTCAGGATGGGGTTAGCACTTAATTCGGGAGACTCTGAGTGCAAGCAGGTAACCTCGGCCACATGGGCTGGGCTTCCGAGGCAAAGGGAACCAGGCTCACAGTCTCTGGGCCCAGGAGGATGGGGGGGGGGTGCTCCTTAGCTCACACAGGTGTGGGCACTTTAAGCTGCAGTCAGGTGTTACCAGCTAGTGATTGATGGCAACGGCAGACAGGTTAAGGGTGAGGCTTGATCCAATCACAGTGGGCGTCTGGAGTGGGTGGGTCCAGCGGGAGGTCTCCATGTAGTCAGGCCCTGCCCCAGGAAGGTGGACCCTGCAGAAGAGCTGGTGCCGGGCCCAGTGTGCCCCCTGGCTCCCTGGCTCCCCACAAGACCGCTCCTCGACCATCTTCCAGCCTCGCCAGATCCTGTACCCACGCGGACGCCTGGTCCCAGACTGCACACCTCCAACTGTAAGCGGAATGAACCTTTCTCCTTCCGAAGTGGCTCCTCTTGGGTGTTGTAGAGAAAGCGTGGGCCTAAGACGCACCCCAGTGCCAGGTTGATTTCTGTCTGCAGAACTTTGTTCTGTAGGTAGCTGTAGTTGTGAGCAAAACTGCTGCTTAACCGCCCACAGCCAGGGGCCCGGGGGAGGCAGCCGTCAGCCAGCCCCCACCAGAAGGGGTCCTGCGGATGTCGTTGTCCCATTTGTAGTGGGACGTAAAACAGCCGGCAGTTACACAGAAACTTAAGATTGTGCGTCCATACGTTCCGAGTACATGCCTTCGCAGTATTCTCCCATCCAAGTACTAACCAGGCCCGACCCTGCTTAGCTTCCAAGATCAGACGAGATCGGGCGCGTTCAGGGTGGTATGGCCGTAGACACGCAGTATTCTATTTATAACGCATGCTAACCAAGTGTCATCACTCAGCGTTCATGATTGGTCAAGGTTTCCTGGCTCTTCTCAGATCTCGGGAAAGGTTTTAGCGTCCTTATTTCTTGAACGTGAAACCAATTTGTGGGTCTCTTTCAAAGCTTTGTCTTTGGCAGGTCCCTCAGCAGAGGCAGCAACAGCCTCTCGGGTCCCTGGTAAGACGGGCGGAGGATGAGTGTCAAGCCCCATGACCACAGAAACTTCTGGAATGTCCCTCAGCACCATGGGAAAAATCCAGGTCAGTTTTCTAGAAGTGTAATGAAGGGGCAGGCGTTTGGCACCACGGTTAAGATGCTGCCTGGGACGCATGTCCCGGGTTCAAGTCCTGGCTCAGCTCCAGATTCCAGCTTTCTGCTAATGTGTACCCTGGGAGCCAGAAAGTAATGGCCCAAATACTTGTGCCCCTGCCATTCACACGGGAGACCTGGGTGAGTTTTGGCTCCTGGTTGGCCCATCCCAGCCCCAGGTCATGCAGCTGTTTGGGAGTGAGCCTGCAGATGGGAGATCTAGTTTTGTTTGTCTCTGTTGTTTTTTCTCTCTCTCCCTTTCAAATTAAAGTAAAACTTAAGAAATGAAGAAGAGAGATTAAACTGTAAAACTCGGTGGGGTCAACAGGAGATTGGACACTGCTAGGGAGAACATCCGTTCTCAAGGCATGTTGGGAGGTGGCCGTGCGTCCAGTGGGACAGCAGTCTGGATGGCAGGAGTTCTTCGGTCCTCACCCCAGAGGTGAGTTTTCTTGCATGGTTTCCAGATCTGTAGAATGGCTCTCCGAACATCTCATCTAGAAAGGCAGTGACCACGAAGATGCTGTGAAAGACTGGTCTCACTCACTCACTGAATGAGATAACTCCTCCCATGTCTGATCAGTATTGCAGTTTTTTATTTTTTAAAGATGCATTTAATACGTGAGGCGGGGAGAGAAATATTCCATCTGCTGGTTCACTCCCGAAATGGCCACAATGGTCAGGGCTGGGCCAGGCCAAAGCCAGGAGGCTGGAATTCCTTCTGGGTCTCCCACATGGGTGCAGGGGTCCAGCACTGGGCCGTCTTCCACCACCTTCCCGGGGGCGTTAGCAGGGAGCTGGATTGGAAGTGGGGCAGCCAGGACTTGACCTGCTGCTTATATGGGATGCCGCCATTGCAGGTGTTAGCTTAACCCTCTGCCACAATGCCAATCTGTTTTATATTTATGTTTCAGGGAGAGGAGAAACAGATCTTCTATCTGCTGGTTCACTCCCCAGATGGCCCCAATGGCCAGGACTGGGCCCTGTCAAAACCAGGAGCTTCTTCAGGGTCTCCCATGTGGGTGCAGGGGCTCAAGGACTTGGGCCACCTTCTGCTGCTTTCCCAGGCCACAGCAGAGAGCTGGATCGGAAGTGGAGCAGCTGGGACTCAAACCGGCACCCATATGGGATGCCAGCACTGAAAATGGTAGCTTAATCTGCCACACCACAGTGTCTACCCCAGTTTTTAGTTCCTAACTAGTTTCATAAAGTACCTCAATTTCTCATTTCACTTGTTATATGTGAACCTTAATTGGATACTCCAGTTTTTACATCTGTGTATTCTTTCCGTCCCAGAGCTGTGTGCGTCTCTGTACATGAAATCCAGCTGTTATTCGGTCTTTATCACCTCAGCTCTGTAGAATGGTGTGGAGATCCCGCGTTGATCTTAGAACAGCCCAGCACGGAGGTGCTGCCGCTCTCCTGGTCTGGTGGAGGAAGTGACTGTCAGTGATGCTGGGCCCACGCCCAGGGCTGCTGCCCGTGAGGACGAGCTCCCGCTGAGTCCGGCTTAGTTCCTGCAGGAGTGATGCACCCATTTCCAATCATACATGTCTCTTACCTGACTGTCCTGCCTCTGAGCCATGCCCCTCCCTCGCCCACAAAGATGTCTGCAGTGGGAGACAGGAACCAGAGTTCAGAGGGTTTGCCTCTGTTGCTGCCTTTTCCACGCCGGTCTCATTCCGTGCAGCCAGGGCTTGGTTTCTCACGTCTGGAGGGGTGAAAGGAGCTCCTTGAGGCTTGGTGTGCTGGGTCAGGGGTCCAGGGCCGGCCTGTGGGGGAGGAAGGGACAGTAGCACCGCTGGCCCTGGTGCTCGGGCGGCCGTTGGTAGAACCGCAGCCTGGGGCCCGGTGGTGGCCTGCACCCCTGGGGTGTGCATCTCCAGGCCTCCCCTCCTGGATCAGCTGTCGCTACTTGCACTGTGCTCTGAGGAGGCCACGATGCCGGGGACAGTAGGACAGAAAGCCGTGCTTCCAAAGAGAGGGCCCTACTGTGCGCTGCCACCACGGAGTCTGTGCTGGGGGCTTGTGGGGGACCCCAGTCCGGGGTGACTCCAGCCCCAGGTGTTTCTGACGAGCTCTGGGGGCCACTGCTGCGGTGTCCAGCACGCCCCTGTCATCACCTGTGTGTGTGTGGGGGGGTACAGCACTGTGGGAGACGCACACTGTCACTTGTGAGCCGCAGGGGCTAGCAGCCACCGGGGGGGCGGTGAAGCAGGTGGGCAGCAGAGCAGGAGCCGGGCCAGCACGCCATTACCGAATGACGTCACTTCCCCGGGCAGGGGGCACACTGCCTCTGCCGCCGCGTCTAGCCCGCCTGCGGTGGCTCAGCTGCTGCACGGAGTTCCTGGGGTTGTCCTCAGTGGTTCTGACCACATAGCCTCCCTCCTAGCAACCTACCTGTGCTGGCTGCTTCTGACCTCGGCTTGCTGCCCCTGCCCTTGGGCGAGGGTGGATGAGGCGTGGCCGGGAGGGTGGTGTGCTTTGCCTTTGTCCTCGCTTCCCCGAGGCCACCACACCGCACTGGGAATGCCGTTGCTGGCCACCGGGGCTTGAATGGTGTCCGCGCAGAGTCCCAGGAGGTGACCTTGCTGGAGGCCAAGCCTTGCAGATTTGGGGTTAATAAGAGGAGGTCCAGGGAGAGGGGGAGCCTGGAGTCCCTGACGGAGGAGATGCTGGAGAAGGTAGGGGCCTGGGGGTGGGGGTGCAGCTGGCCTGCCTTGCCCAGGAGCTGCCGTGGCAGTGTTTGCTCTAAAAATCCTGGGTTCTCCAGCCCAGACCTGCACTCCCGGGGGCAGGTCTCCAGCATGGGTTCAGAGTGGGTACTGGTGCCACAGGTCTGCCCTAGGCCCTTCCTACCTGAGCGCCCAGTGGGTAACTGTGGGGCCTCAGACGTATGAATGAGCACACAAGCACGCACGGTGCCCACCATGGCAGCCATGTAGCTACCACACATGCAAACCATAAACTGCATGCCACAATTACGCGTATGCACACCCACCATGCCACAACACACACACCAGACACCATATACATGCACACACCTTCACACACATCTCGTAAACACATACATCCACATGTACCCTGCCCACCAACCACATACCATATGAATGCACACACAGTATACGAATGGAGCATGTATACACACAAACATGCAACACACATAAGCACACACATGTACAACTGACACGTGTACATCCAAGCATGCTGACATATGTGGATACATGTACCACAGGCACATAGAAGTATGCACATACCAACATATGGACACACATGCACAAACATGCTCTCCCACTTAGAGATGCAGAAACACTCTAGCACAAAATGCACGCGTATAAAACACAAGTCAGTGGAGGAAAAGACCGTTGACAGCAGCCCCATGATGGGCAAAGCTGCGCCTGCCTGTGACCAGAACTCTGATACAGGCAGCACACGGCTGCTCCCCTGGGCACGTGGACACGGTACTCGCCTGGAGCCTGGGCCTGACTTCCTGTGTAGACGCAGACATGAAGCTTGCTCACCTCAGCCTGTCCCTGACAGCTCCCATGTGGACGTAGATGCTGTTTCCTACAATCCTATTTTTCATATCCTACTAATTTTAAAAAATGCTTCTGGCTCAAAAAGAAAAAAAGGTTTTCACCCATTTTAATGGGCCGTGCAATAAAGAAGAACGGGAACAGAAGGAACAAATTCGCAGGCAGGAGAGGACAGGCGCCGTCAGTGTGGGAGGCAGTGATCTCATGGGAATGGGGCAGCGCCGGCCCCTGCTCGCGGAAGGCTGACGCCTCCCCGTGGCTTCCTGGCTTCAGGGAACGGACAGCTTCTGACAGAAGGGGCTTGTGGGGGAAGGCCGGCGTGGCGTTGCAGTGGATTGCCTCTGCAGTGTGGTGAACAGGGCAGTGTTGTGTTCGTTGGGCCCCGAATCCATTCAGATAGAGCTTCAGAGTTTTCAGTTGACTGAAGTAGCTCAGAGAAAGTTCCTGGTTTGTGTCCCGCTGCTGTGCTGCTCTTCAGTGACTGGGAAGCCTTTGCCGTGTTGGTGTAAGCAGTGCAGGTCGACTGGAAACAGATCACAACAAGGCACGCAGAAGTGCAGACGTCTACGGCGGCAGTGCAGGAAGAACCACCACGTTGTTTCCTGGTGCTGCCAGTGTTCAGGCTTCCCTACGTTTGCAAATCCTACATATCTGCTTAATGGTCTGCTTTCCCCGGCCTGCGTTCTGTGAGTGTCTCAGGTGGACACACCTGCCTCAGGTGCGTGCATTTGGCTGACCCGGGGTGCACTGGCATCCGCTTAGCTGGGGCTGTGTCCCCCCGACCCCCTCCCCTGGGTGCCAGGGTTCCAGCCGGTCACGGAGGGATGCGGAAAGAGGCTGAGCTGTGCAGTGATGGTGCAGGGGAGCATGGGACCAGACACCGCTGGGGCTTGCCCCTGCCGTGGCCCCTCTGCCACCTGCTTGCCAGCACCTGGTCACGCAGCCTGCGTGACAGCACACACACCCCGCTGGGGCCTGCAGCAGCATTGGCACTCGGTGTTCCTCAGGGTCCCTGTGTGAGAGGTCGGGAACGACCTTAGGTAGAGCTGCTGGGTGTCTGCTGTGGCTGTGGCAGGGGACGGAGCCGGGCGGCTGTGGCGTCGGTCTCCACGTCTGAAGCCCGGTCACCTCAGAGTCGTGGCCTGGGGATCCCAGTGACCGAGGCAGAGGCAGAGCATTCTGAGACGTGGTGGTCGCCTGAGGATGTGAATAGCACACTCCTTCCTTAGTTTGTGTCTTTTTCCCTCTCTCCCTCTCTGTCTCTCTCTTTCTGTCTCTGTTGTGTGTTTTTTTCTAATTTATGGTCTCTCTATCTTACTTTGTATCTGTTTCACCACTAATGAGGTCAAACCTTCAAGTGGGGATTCTTGTCTGTCTGCTGAATTGCCCCTGCACTACTTTTGCCATGTTTCTGTGTCGTAGCTTTCTTTTTAAAAACATTTATTTAAGGCATACAAATCTGATGTATTTCATATAAACAGATTTAGGAACAGTGACACTTCCCACCCCACCCTCCCTCTGGCCCACACTCCCACCCTTCCTCTCCTAGTCCCTCTCAGTTTTTATAGTGGTCAGTTTTCAGTTTACTTTGCACTCGTAAGACGAACCCGGGCTGAGTAGATTCTACAAATAGGAAGAAGACGACAATGCTGATGCTAAACAGCGGAGACAAGGGCTGTAAACATCATGGAAGCCTAAAGTGTCAATGGCACTGTACATTCTGGTGCTCTGTTGGTTATCACAGGTCAGGGGAAACATGATGTCTGTCTTTTGGGGACTGGCCTGTTTCACTAAGTGTAATGGTTTCCAGTTGCATTCCTTTTGTTGCAAAAGATAGGATTTAATTCTTTTTTATAGTTCAGTATTATCCTATACTATATGTATGCCGTAATTTCTTTAGTCATCAGTTGATGGACATCTGGGTTGACTCCATATCTTAGCTGCTGTGTACTGTGCTGCAATAAACATGGGGGTACAGAGAACTCTGTCATATACTCGTTTGGTTTCCCTTGAGTAAATTCCCAGGAGTGGGATGGCTGGGTCACGTGGCAGGTCTGTATTCAGCTTTCTGAGGTTTCTCCATACTGCCTTCCTCAGTGACTGTACCAGTCTACATTCCCACAACAGTGGACTGGGGTACCTTTTCCCCCACACCCTCGCCAGCATTTGTTGTTTGTTGATTTCTGTATGAAAACCATTTAACTGGGGTGAGGTGAAACCGCACTGTGGTTTTGATTTGCATTTCCCTGATGGCTAGTGACCTTGAGCATTTTTTTTTCATGTGTCTGCTGGCCATTTGAACTCCTCTTTTGAAAAATGCCTGTTCAAGTCCTGTGCCCATTTCTTAACTGGATTGTTTGTTTTGTTGTTGAGTTTCCTGAGCTCTTTATAGATTCTGGATATGAATCCTTTATCAGTTTCATAGTTTTTTTTTAAAGATTTTATTTACTTATTTGACAGGTAGAATTACAGACAGACAAAGAGACAGAAAAGTCTTCCTTCTGTTGGTTCACTCCCCAAATGGCTGCAACAGCCAGAGCTGAGCCGAACCAAAGCCAGGAGCCAGATGCTTCTTCCAGGTCTCCCACATGGGTGCAGGGGCCCAAGCATTTGGGCCATTCTCCACTGCTTTCCCATGCCATAGCAGAGAGCTGGACTGGAAGAAGAGCAACCAGGACTAGAACTGGTGTCCATACGGGATGCCGGCCCCTTAGTTTCATAGTTTGCAAATATTTTCTTCCGTTCTGTTCATTGCCTCTTTGCTTGGCTGAGTGTTTCCTTTGCTTGTTGTAATCCCAATTGTCAATTTTGCCTTTGATTTCCTGTGCCTCTGTGGTATTTTCCGAGAAGTCTTTGCCTATGCCAATGTCTTGCAGAGTTTCCTCAATGTTCTCCTCTATAGTGTGATGGTATTGAGTTGTAGATTTAGATACATGATCCATTTTGAGTTAATTTTTGTATAAGATGTAAGGTAGGGGTCTTGTTTCATACTTTTGCATTCAGCACCATTTGTTGAAGAGACTGTCCTTGCTATAGGGGTTGATTTTAGTTCCTTTTCAGAGGTCAAAGATTAGATGGTTGTAGATGTGTGGACTGATTTCTGTTCTGTTGGCCTACATGTCTATTTTTGTGTCGTTACCAGGCTGTTTTGGTTATAACTGCCCTGTAGTATGTCTTGGAATCTGGTATTATGATGTCTTCAGTTTTGCTTTGTTGTCTAAGATTGCTTTAGCTATTCAGGGTCTCTTGTATTTCCACATGAATTTTAGCATGAGTTCCAGTAGTCTCTTCGTGGAGTTTTTTGGTTCCCCTATATATAGAATTTTGTCATCTGCAAATAGGGATAATTTGACTTCTTCCTTTCCCATTTGAATCCCTTTGATGACTTCTTCTTGCCTAATGGCTCTGGCTAAAAATTCCAGGACAATATTGAATAGCAGTGGTGAAAGTGGACATCATTGTCTGGTTCTGGATCTCAGTGGGAATGCTTCCAGCTTTTCCCCATTCAGTAGGATGCTGGCTGTGGGTTTGTCATAAACTGTCTTGTTTATGTTGACGAACTTTCCTGCTGCGCTCAGTGTGTGTAAGGTTTCATCATGAAAGGGTGTTGTGTTTTACCAAATGTTTCTCTTCATCTATTGAGATAATCTTACGGTTTTTGTTCTTCAGTTTGTTAGTGATGTATCATTGATTGATTTGAGAATGTTGAACCATCCCTGAATACCAGGGATAAATCGCACTTGGTCAGGGTGAATGCTGTTTCTGATGTGTTGGTGGATGCAATCAGTTAGTATTTTATTGAGGATTTTTGCATCTGTGTTCATCAAGGATACTGGTGTATAGTTTTCTTTATTTTATCTTTTTCTGGTTTAGGAATTAAGGTGATGCTGGCCTCAAAGAAGGTGTTTTTAAATTTTTTAATTTATTTTTTATTTTTTGGACAGGCAGAGTGGACAGTGAGAGAGAGAGACAGAGAAAGGTCTTCCCTTTCCGTTGGTTCACCTCCCAGTGGCTGCTGTGGCCACCACACTACGGCCGGCGCACTGTGCTGATCCGAAGCCAGGAGCCAGGTGCTTCCCCTGGCCTCACATGGGGTGCAGGGCCCAAGCACTTGGGCCATCCTCCACTGCACTCCTGGGCCACAGCAGAGAGCTGGCCTGGAAGAGGGGCAACCGGGACAGAATCCGGCGCCCCCACCAGGACTAGAACCTGGTGTGCCGGTGCCGCAGGCGGAGGATTAGCCTAGTGAGCCGCAGCTTCGGCCTTAAAGAAGGAGTTTGGGAGGATCCTGTCGCTCCCCCATTCGCGGA